TGACAGCAGGCGCGTTCATGTAATTTGGAGGCGTGGTTTCGTGGGGTGGGCTGAAGGTGTGTATTTTCAAAAATGTAGCTGGCAGGAACCGTTTATCCAGGATCATATACCCCACCTTTAAGAGAAACGCTTTTTCGCAGAAAAGTTGTCTGCTCAACCAATCGAAGCTGCTCTTCCTCGTTCCTTTTATCGGCCTCTCATCTGGCAGATGTTCTGGCTCACCTGGGCAAGTCTAACTGGATATGAGTTTACATGAGAATGGAAACGGTACTCCCGATTGTCAAAGTAAAAGGAAAGGATGTGGTGGAGAGGCGTGCTGCTGTTTCCAGGACTGTTTAGTTAGGGATCATATGACCAGCTCTAAAAGATATCTTGTAAAGTTCAGCTTTAGTCGTCATTTCCTGCTTGTTTCTCCTGCAGATGCCGGCGTTCCTGTGGTTCTTCCTGACCTTCCTGCTAGGAGCTGGTGCTGCTCCGGCTGAAGATGAAATCACCTTCCTTCCTGGTCTCCAGAAGCAGCCGAGCTTCAAGCAGTATTCTGGCTATCTGAACCTGCCTGATGGAAAACACCTTCACTACTGGTCAGTGCTGATGCTCAGCTCCTGCACCTCACCTGGCTGATGCTGCCTTACCTAAACCTGCTCTGACTCTCAGGTTTGTGGAGTCCCAGAACAAACCATCGTCCGACCCAGTGGTCCTGTGGCTGAACGGCGGTCCTGGCTGTAGCTCCTTGGATGGACTGCTCACTGAACATGGACCGTTCCTGGTAGGTAACGCCAGATCCCGACTGTCTCACCTGTAGAACTCATTCGTTGTGCACTGTCTGACATCCGCCATCGTCTTCAGATCCAGGATGACGGTGTGACGCTGCAGTACAACCCCTACTCTTGGAACAAGGTAGGTCATGTGACTGTGGGATGTAGTTACCTCAACAGAGTCCTGAAAACTGATTGTTTCATTGCTCACCTGCAGATTGCCAACATGTTGTACCTGGAGTCTCCAGTTGGTGTCGGTTTCTCGTATTCTGACGATAAGAAATACGCAACCAACGACAGTGAGGTCAGTGACTCATCTCCAAGGCTGGTTGTGGTTGGTTGTCAGGTGTGTCAGATGTTCTGCGTCTGCAGGTGTCCATGAACAACTACCTGGCTCTGAAGGAGTTCTTCCGGCTGTTTCCAGAGTTCAACAACAGGGAACTCTTCCTGACTGGAGAAAGTTACGGAGGGATCTACATCCCCACGCTTGCTGAGAGAGTGATGGAGGACTCCAGCCTGAACCTGCAGGTTCTCCTCACTTCCTGACCAGTTCTGCTGCTGGTGAAATCCCCCCACCTGTGTGTGATGCATTGTGCTCTTGTGCTGCAGGGTATTGCCGTTGGAAACGGGTTGGCAAGCTACGAGCTTAACGATAACTCCCTGGTGTACTTCGCCTACTATCACGGCCTGCTGGGCAGCAAGCTGTGGGCGGACCTTCAGATGTTCTGCTGCAGCAGCGGGAAATGTGACTTCTATAACAGCAAGAACCCCAACTGCACCGAAAGCGTGAGTCTCAACTTCTGCTTTTTCTCAGAGTAGCTTTGCCTCGTCTGTTCCTGTTTGGCTGTGACACCACCGTGGAGAGAAATATCAGCTGGGCTGCTGCCATCAACACTTTTGTTTATAAATATTGGAGCTTGGCCTGTTTTTCGGTGTAGTCCTGTTTCTGACTGTGGCTGGATGTGCTCTCTTCATCCTCTGACATGGGAGCTGGCTCAGAGCTCGTCTGTCTGGCTGTGTGTCCTGGAAGGGGCCACCTTCTTTCTCCTTGAACCCCAGTCGGCCTCGGCAGATGGCTGCTCACACTGAGCCTGGTTCTGCTGGAGGTTTCTTCCTGCTTAAAGGGAGTTTTTCCTCTCCACTGTCGCTACAAGCAAGCTTGGTGTGAGGGATTGCCTTTGAGTCGATGCAATCAACTGGTTTTTCCTTAGAACTTTGAATCAATTTGACTGTATGACCTGGTGAACTGTGAGGTGCCTTGAGATGATATGTGTTGTGAATTGCCGCTATATAGATAAAGTGAATTGAACCAAGCTGACCCGGATGTTTGACAAAGGTGTCATCTCTCTGTCTCTTAGCTGGCAGACGTCACAGAAATCGTCTACAGTTCAGGACTCAACATTTACAACCTGTACGCTCCCTGTGCTGGTGGAGTCCCTCATAGACTCAGGTGAGCTGGTTTAATTCACCCTGGTGTATTCTGGATGTTCAGCCCGGTGAACCTTAGATGGCTTCTGGGTTTTCAGTGTCGAAAGCGGACAGCTGGTGATCCGAGATCTGGGGAACAACTTCATCAACCATCAGTGGACTCGGCAATGGAACCAGGTGTGCATAAACTCACCTGCTCTCTGTTGGAGGCCAACTCACCTGCTCACCGCTCCTCTTCCTCTCTGATTGCAGAAGTTACTTGGTCTGGCATCTCTGCACCTCTCCGTCCGTCTGGACCCACCATGCACCAACTCCACCCCTTCCAGCCTCTACCTGAACAACCAATATGTGCGGAAAGCTCTGCACATCAGCCCAGATGCACTGGATTGGGCTGTCTGCAGGTAATGGTCTCGCCTGTCTCTTAGGGACATGTCCCCCCGTCATTTTTCTGACCCGTTTTGTCTGGTGTTGCAGTTCCGAAGTAAACTTGAATTATGGGCGGCTCTACATGGATGTTAAGAAGCAGTACCTGAAACTTCTTTCAGCTCTGGTCAGTGAACGCACCGCAGCACCTGTAACTTCCTGTTTTTTATCCAAACATTATTGAGAATCATTTAGCTGTTGCAGTTTCTACCCACCGGATCACCTGGAACCTCCTGTGTTAACAGGAAGTCAGATTTCTGTAGGAAGTTTTGTCTGCAATGTTGTCCGGGCCTGGTCCTGGTTTGGTTCCAGGTGCTCAGTTGTCATGTCCGATATGTGTTGTGCTTCTTGCAGAAGTACCGGATCCTGGTATACAACGGAGATGTGGACATGGCCTGTAACTTCATGGGTGACGAGTGGTTCGTGGAGTCTCTGCAGCAGCAGGTAACGGTCATCATTTAACTCTGGGACTGGAAGTATAAATCAGAAAAAAGCTGAGAAGCAAATCTTGACAGATCAGCTTGCACTAATCCACCTTTATTTTTTATATACTAAAATGATATGCCTATACCAACATAACCTAATTCTAATTTATTATGATGAAATAAGGCTATATACTACAGCCGGCTGTTCTGATGGTCTTTTGATGATCCTTTTTGAGCCTAAATAAAACCTCAGCACTGTGCATGATGAGTTGAATTAACCAGACATGGCGCCATCTACTGGCAGTGCTGCTGAACTACCAGAAGGCAGGTGGTGGCCATTAGTGCAGCTGCTAAATAAATAACCGTACCTGCCGACAGCTCGAAGGACATGGCATAAAAATGCTGCTAATACCAGTAGCAAAGCTAGCAAGGATGTGAATTTGTGTGTCTATCAACTTTGCTGCGACATCAGAATTCTTCTTGAGCTTAAGCGTTCGACTGGAGTTTTATTAGTCCTGGAATCAAACATCATATTTTATTTTTTTAATGAAAGCCTTTTTTTTTTTTTTTTACACTCATTGCTTTGGCTTGTTGACCAGTTCTTTGCATGTGCGGTAACCTAATCCTGGTCACATGATGTTGTTTTTGTAAATATCCACCAAGAGGCTATTGACTAACAAATTGAGCCAAAAAAAGCTTAAAGACAAAAATAAATATGTCAGCAGGCTGTAATTCTTCAGTAAAAATATGCAACAAGCCTGAGTTAAAAGTGAATACATTTAGTCAAATAACAGTTATATGCAACTTTGAAACCACTTTTATTGGCCTAATAACGTAACACCTATTGACATGGAAACAACAAATACACAACAATATGCATATTTCTTATCTAAGAGACTCTTTACTTCTCACAGGTAATAATAATAATTATCTTTGAGATCAGCGGTTTAGTTCCTCACTAGTCGGCTATATAGATCCCTCAGCTGTGGACAATCCCTCGTCTCCAAGTGTAATAAGGGTGCATTGTTGCCCATATGTGAAAGAACTTGGTTTGGAGAGTAGAAAACCTTTTCACTTTAAATATATAACATATCTCACTAAAATATAGAGGTATGTTGGTTGGTCAAACTCGTTTGTTAGGAGCAGATTTCTAGCAGGCTCTGCGTGATAAATGGATATTTTCTGAATTGTTTTAAAGATTTTATGTCTTTCTTTAGTGCCTGATGGCGCCGTTGTCATGGTTATTTGATAACCTGGTGTGAAACCTCTGGGTGTTTATAGTAGAATAGTCTTTAAGGTTGGTTACCCTGTGTGTCTCAGGTGGAGGTCCAGAGGCGTCCATGGATCTATGAAGGTCAAGATGGTCGTCAGATTGGAGGCTTCGTCAAAGAATTTAGCAACCTGGCCTTCCTCACTGTAAAGGTACATCATCATCATCATGGATGCTGAGATATTTTTTTTATTTTTTGCATTGGTAATTGGTTTGTTTGGTTCTGCAGGGTTCTGGTCACATGGTTCCATCGGATAAACCTGTTGCTGCCTTCGCCATGTTCACGAGGTTCATCAAGAAGCAGCCGTACTGATCGGAGCACCGTTTGCACTTTCTCAGCTGACAAACTCTCAGGATGTTGTCTTTGTTTTTTTTAAATGTTTTTTCTTTTTACATGACTGCCAGCCAATCAGAATGGCTCTCTGTAAAGTGTCTATAGAAAATTAACTAATCAAGCAGCTCCTGTGTTAGCTCCACCCATATCACCATGGAAACGAGCACTGCCTGTTGATTTCATGAGTGTTGAATGCTGGTTCAAAAGAAAACTAAATAAACCTTTTTGTTTTTTTAATCTAGAACCTTGGTTGTGTTTTTATTTCCGTACAGCAGGCCGCAGAGGCCAAGTCATCTGTCAGTGTGCTGACACTCATGTCGTTCTGCTGTTGGAACCACAGGAAATCTCAGTAACTTTCCCCACAGCTTACAGGGTTATTCATAAACCCAGAGAAGGCAGACTGCTGGGTTATACCACTGGAGATGTGGTTGAATTACCCAGAATCCAGGATTTTTCCTGCTGGAAACTTAAACAGCAGCTGGTGGTTAACCTCCTTCTAGCTACCAAACATTACAGCAGATGGTTCAGGTGCTTCTGTCTGAAGCATCCCTCTCATTCACCTGAACAGCTGTCTGTGAGCCTGGGTTAAATTTGCCTGCAAACACCTGCTGCTTCTCCGAACTGGTACTGAAGTTTGGGTTCTACCTCAGGAGAAGGCGGAGCAGCTAGTTCGAACAACCTGCTGCCAGGATCTGACCTGGATAAACAGGAAGGTTTGCAGTAATTGCAAACTGCAGGTGTATGGGGGTCTGTTTCTCTCAGTCGGGGGCATCTGTTCAGATGGACCAACCAGCAGATACAGACCTTTGTTGACTGTAAACATGTTGCTGTTCACCTGCAGCCTGTCAGTCAGTGCTTAGGGAACTACACAGTCCACAGGAAGGAGCTTTAACCTTCACAGGTAGATTCTACAGACTGACCCAGTCTGATTTTTAAGGACAGCACAGCGACTCACCTGTGCAGGTAAGATTTGTTCTGCAGCCTCTTAAACTTCCTTTAGATCAATGTTCTTGTTTGGGATGCAGTATTGGGTCTAAAGCGCTGATCTTGAACCAGAGAAATATACATAAGGTTCTTTTGGTTCCACCTCATGCAGATGGGTCTGTTTAGAGCTGACTTCCTGCATCTACAATACTCTGAATGCTACCATAGTATTGGGATCTCTGGCTAGATGCACGATAAGCAAAGGTGTGAAGTGGGTCCATGCAGGCACACTGAGATGTTTAGGTCTTTTTTTATAGTCCCACCTGCCTTCAACGTATGCCAGTAAATATGCTATTATTTCATGATATTATCAAACATCATTATAGCACATATAAAGCATTTAGTCATAAAGGTATCGTTTTAAAGTCGCGCTCTTTCTCTTTGTCTGCCCAGCTTGCTCGGATTACCAGACACCTACTGCCCTGTTGGTACTAGAATGTGTTTTTACAGTGAGAAAAGTTGAATTGACATGTTAGAAACGCTGCTGCTTAGAAAAGAAAAGGGGGAAAATTTGCTCCACTATATGGAATGCAAAGAACATCTTTCAAACAGGAATGTTTTTTAAACGTATCAATCAAATCAGGGTTTTGATGTTAATTTATACTTTGCGTTAAAAATTGTACCCAATATTTGTAGAGTGTGCAATTTTTGACCTAATTAAATTTTTTTTTCCTCTTTTCCAATTTTTTGAGTTTTTTTTTGGAGGGGAGACTAAGTTTTACGAGTCGCATCCTTTTCGAATCCTATTACCGGTACTCAAATTTAACCCTCTACACTTCTGGGCTGTGTGTGTGTGGGGGGGCATAAACAATCCTGTTGCTAATGTCTACACAGCAGATTTGGTTATTGGTTTACAAACAAAAAACAGACAAGTTCAAAAATGATTGAAAAGAATTAAATAAAATACAATTAAATATATAAAATCTGAAAATATAGCAAACTAAAAATATTGATTGAAATTTTGAACTGCATTTTCTTCAAATTTCTGTATTTGTATCATTTTGTTTTTTAAATAATACTGGAACAAATTTCTCTGCATAGTAAATGAAAAAACATAATTAGATGTGTGAAAGTAAATACATATTTTGTCTCTAGTTCAATAAACTGGAGTAGAAAGTGAAGAGACGATAACACTACATACAGCGAGCTGATTATTTGCTACATCTAGTTAACTTTGGAGGATATCAGAGAAAACATCACTAATTATATGAATGTCAACAAGATTTATCATCACTGACTGCAACCTTGGGGAGTCTGGATGTCCTTTGCAGGCCAGTTAAATTTGCATAATGCGTTCTTTGATAATTAGTAATATGAGTATAATATTGGATGAGGTTAAAAAATAAAACATAAAACAGCTCAAACTTGAAATGTCTGCAAAATATCAGCACTTCACATCCTTCTGAGCTTTTAAACCCCAAAAAGACGCTTCAGCCTATGCTATATCAGAGCATTATCATATTAAACATCTAAATCTACATCTAGTATTAAAATACGGCATCAATCTAATAATTAAATTGTCAATTGAAATGCTTACATTGTAGCATTGATATGTATATTAAGTTAGTTTACCTCAGTTTGCTCCTGCTGTTTGGGTTACAGTCTGCCCTGTATTGGCCCAGCATGGCTTATTATTAGTAATACTTATTCTTTATTTTCATTTATTTTTTTATTTATTTTATTTTCACAAAAAAAACATAAAAACAGAATAATATTTTACTAAAAAAGAAAATGTGATGGACAACTGCCGAAAAACCCTCAAGGGGCTTAATGAGTGGCAGTCACCATAAAAACAGAAATATTTCACCATTTCAGACATCTATGATATGATAATGTGTAAAAAAAAAAAAACAAACAAAAAAACAACAACAGCATTTCTTTGTATAAAACAATTTAAAATATAATTTAGATCACAAATCCATACGGAAAGTTCAGACAACTTAGTAGCAGCAATTTTACTCTCCGTTTAAATTGTTCTTTAGAAAGATCTGTCAGTGATGTGGGAAGACTGTTCCAAATCCTTGATCCTTTGTATAATACTACTACTACTACTACTAATGCTTATATTTATCATCTCTCTCAGACATGCTTTTTAAATATTCAAGATCTCATCTTCAAAACTCGGGTCACTCCAGTGATGTTCTGTCAGCCAATCCTATACCCTCTACCTCAGCTGCCTAGTGGCACTTTAACAACCAAGACTTTTGTTTGACACCCAAGTGTGAAATAAAGAGAAGTTAGACTCATATTTGCCTTTTATTTTATTTTTTTTATATTTTACTGCATCTTCCATGGATCTGTATTTTCCCATGTGTTGTACAACAATGCCACATGTTGAATTATATGCTGAAGTTTACATATAATACTTAGTTGGGGGTTTGGGGAATTTTGCCACTCCATAATTTTACGTAGGGCGCAGAAATAGCTAGGGCCAGATCTGGGTTCTTCAGTGCTCTGAATACCACAGTTAAGAAAGTTTGTTGGCATCTCTCAGTAACTGAGGGGTTAATGTGGATGTGCAGTCTGCATAATCATCTGTCATCCATGGTGCAGACACGGCTCACCTGCAGTTTTCCCCTATCAAGCAAGTCTGCGGGTTGCAGAGGTGAGTTCACCTATTTCAGGTGTTATTAATACAGAACTCTGAGGCTTTTTGATGCCTCACAGACTGATGGATTCTCTTGTTAGACTCTGTTAATCCAGGAAGCAAGAACTTTGACCACACATGGAACCAACCAAATATACCGCCTACAGAACCCCCACCCACAAAGTACAAAAAGCTCAGAAACTTCAGGTCCACATTGTTTCTTCTGCTCCACTAATGTTGAACAAACTTCTAAAGGACTAAAAGTGCTGAAACTTTAGACTTTATTTGGTCAAATCAAGGTAGAAAGTCTGTTCAGAGTGGCCTTCGACTAATCGACTCAAACTCAAACATCTTAAGTTTATGTTTGTAGCCGAGCTTTCTCCTGTGTGACTGTTCTACTGCGCTGGATTTTCCACTGCTTTTTCTATGATTTGTATTGTTACTACAGTGTTTTATGCAAATAAGTTTGCTTGGCCTTGGAAATATGTCTTCAGTTTCACACAAAAGTCACAGGATGTGATGTTTGACTTAAAATCATTCATTTACTCTTAGTAAAGGAATCATTGTGTCTCTCAGTAAATCTTTCATTGTGACAGAATCCTGGAGGGTTAGCTGGGCTGCTGCTGTCAACAGATAAACTTAGAGTGGGAACTTTTTTATTTTTAGTGTTTAGTCCTGTTTCTATCTTAGATATAGCTACTGGATCAGCTTCTACTGTGCTCACTGCCTGCTGCTCTGCTCAAGGGTTTCTTCCTGTTAAAAGAATGTTTTTCTCTCTAAACTGTGACTGTTTGTGTTCTCATTGGGAGAGGTTATTGTAGAGTCAACGACAAAATGCAAGCAAATGTTTACTTTCATGTTTATCGAGGAAGAGCGAGTCTTGCTAAGTCAAAGACTAAATTCAATCGGCATAAATCTGTGTGGATGATTTGATTGTATTGTCTCTGAGAATGCATTAAGATTCAAGTAAATTTAATTTAATGATCTGACCTTCCTCTTATTCACAGGTCTGTTCCAGGTGAGCTGTGATTGGCTGGCAATGGACCAATCTCTGAAGGGTCATGTGAGCGTGCTCACCTGCTTCCCGTCTTCTGTGGGTAGAGATGTTGCTGTTGCTGTGGTGAAGCCCCTGGCTGCAGGCCTTGGAAACCCGGGCACCCACAGCCTTCTGCGTACTGACCGACAGGTAAACTCTTATGTGTACCTGAACGGTGGGAGGGGCTTAGCGGGTCTGCATCTGAGCTCAAACCTGGCTGGTCTCACCTGAGAACCCGAATCTTCAGACTATCGCTGGTCGGTGATCAATCAGGACTGATCTTTATGTGTCAGGTGGTTTGGAGATGTCTTTTCTTGTTTATCTTCAGGTGAAATGGACCATGGAGGTCCTGTGTTATGGTCTCACTCTGCCACTGGACAGAGACATTGTCAGACTCTGTGTTGATGTTTACACTGATTGGATGATGGCGCTAGTATCCCAGAGAAGCTCCACCCCTCCACCGATTAGCAGAGACCCCAACCTGTACGTCCAGAAGATCCTTCGACATCTCCATGTGCTTTTCCTGCCCAGGTACCCACATCCCATCTTAAACCAGACCTGAATCTAGACTGCACTGTAGACCCAAAGCCTAATCCAGAATTAATTCATGAGCTCAGTCCTTTGTTCCAGTTCTGTGTCCTGAAGGTCATCCTGAATCCAGACCTGAAGGCTAAGACCTAAATCCAAACTTAAAGCCCCTTTTTTTCTTGTCTTAGGTCAGACCAGGTTGGTCCGGTCTACCTGTCGTTGTGTAAGCAGGTGCTTTGTTCTGTTCAGTCTCTGGCTAGAGAGAGTTCACTGATGAGCAAAGAGACCTGGGAGACTCTGTTACACTTTCTGCTGCGCATCAACCACGCCATGCTGGCTCCGCCTACTTCTGCAGGTGAGACGAAGTACCAGCTAGCTGTATCAGATTATTGGTTATTACATCTGTCCGTCGTGCTGTCCGTCTCTCCTGCGTACAGGAAGCGTGTCGGATCAGTCCATGGCGGTTCTCCTGGAGGTGTGGCTGCTGGCATGTTCTCGGTGTTTCCCATCCCGCTCTTTGTGGACAGCATGCAGACAGATGGTTAGCAGCTGCAGACACCAGCCTGCAGTGGTGGAGCAGTGGAGTAGAGCTGTTGCAGCTCTGACCTCCAGGTTCATTTCCATCCTCAGGGTCTAACTGGTTATGTTATTAAGGAGACGTTGTTGGTTTATTGTTGGTTCTGTATCTGAATCATTAACTGGTTCTGTACCATTCTGTCCTCAGGCTCCTTCCTCAGATATATGGACCCTCCTTCCCTCTCTTCCATGTTCCAGAGGAAGATGCAGCTCTGGTTCCTACAGACATGGAGGATAAGCATCTCTCTCATACCTGGTTTCAGTTCCTGCACATGTTCAGGTAACTGGTTCCAGTTCTTGCACATAATCTGGTAACAGTTTCATGTTTCTAACTCCTTCTGTAAAACTGATAAATCCCATGTTTCTTGCAGTAATCCTGTGGACCTCATTTCCCCTTCAGCCACTTCCTCTATGTCCTCCTCCCAGGATGAGGCGTCTGAGAAGGGAGACCATCAACTACCAGGAATCTTCTTTAGAGCCATGAGACTAGTCGCTGAGCTAGTCAACGCCTTCCTCGGTAAGCTACCACCAAAGGTTGAAGTGCCTTCTTTCTCCTTCAAACAAGAGAGGCAGATGTTCAGTTATTCCTTTGAGGAATTTGACTTCATTTACGAACTTTAATGCCAAACATCTTCACGGGTCTAGTCAGTTAGTCTGTTTGTTCTTATTCTGTGCACACATCAAGATTTTTATTGCCTTAGATGATTTTCAAACCACATCTTACATTGTTCTAAAGAGCAGATTCACATAGACCCATCCTCCAAGATGAAGAGGATGATCTAAGAGTTGGAGGTAGGGTGATCTGGGACTGATTTTCACTTGTTTCTGCAGGTGTGACTATTAGGAGCTCAGAGGAAGCGGATCATCTGCTGTCAAACAGAGGTAGACTCATATTAACTTAACGATTCTGTAGAAATAAAAGCGTACAAATTCAAGAGCTGCATCCTTCGAATAAACCGGACTACGTAGGCCGGGTCCTTCAGAACCATGAATTATTGGACTGTCTTGCCTTTATAAACTGTTTCTGCACTTACCTCAGCATAAAGGCGGCTGCCTAACAGCAGTGATAACATGAACAGAGTTGTGAAGCTGTAAAAATAAAGCACATACCCTTTTTTGTTTTTTATTGATTGTTAAAAGAACTCCAGTTGTAAAACTGTAATCACTGGCATGTGCTCAGATAATATTTTATTTCCTCATATACTATTTTTGATTTAATAATAAAACTATGCAAGGAGAATTATAAATAATCATTTTATACTCACTGGGGAAAGGTTTTTGGAAAAAATAGGGAGGCACTTAGGAGGCCACTAAGTATTTCTGTGAGGGATTATGTTGCATGGTTTCTCATTTCTCTCAATATCTCTGCAAATAGATGCACTACACCCACCACTGTCTAAAACCATGCTGACAAGCTGATCTCTCATCAAAACTTGATTAGTGATCCAAATCTGAATCTGCATAATGGTGCTGATCCAACATTTTGCTGAAAGCAATAGTTGTCTTTAGGATGGAACATAACTTAGTACATTTACTTGATTACTGTACTTAAGTACTCTTTTTGAATATCATTACTTTACTTGAGTCATTTTTTGAGGGGGTAATTGTAACTTTAACTCCACTACATTTCAAAGTCAAATATTGTACTTTCCAACCCACTAAATTTCTAGGAAGTTGCTGGTTATTTGTTCCTTTTAGCTCAGTTTATCTTTGTAATCCGCTGCTGCTGTTTTTCTTTTTGAAATGCAATTCAAAATGGCAGATAGCAGTCCTTAGGACTGAATTTTGACATCACTGTTTAAAGATTTGCATGACATTCCACGAATGTGAGAAACTCAGAGCAGGTATTATTTGTAATTTATACATTTTTTAAGGCGTTAGTTGTTCCCATGTGGCCAAGTTGTTCAGTAGGATGAATTCTCAAAGCAGTTACAGTTTCTTTGCGGTAATAGATTCAACCATAAACCTCTATTCCATAGTGATAGTGTGAGTAGAATCAAGACACTCCTGTTTTCTTTTTGGTTTATTTTTAAATAAGAAATAATGAGCAAAATAGCTGTCCTTATTTTTAAAGCATGTCTATGCTGAAGTTGCTGTGAAGATTCTCAGTCATCCAGGTAATAGTCATTTCAAGTTCTACTGAAGTTCTTCACAAGTTCTCCACAATTTCTTGTGGTCTGAAATATACTGATATTAGACCATTTATTTTGTATTTTTCTGAAAATTTCGGTACTTTTCAATGCATGTTTTTTGCAAGCAACAACATGCCATAGAGGGTTAAGTATTTTCAAAAGTGAGTGCTTCAAAACTTTAACTTGAGTAGATGTTTTACCAAGTAACCTTTTCTTGTAGTTAAGATTAGACTATGAGTATCAGTCCTTTTTTCTCAAGTAGCTAAAAGGGAGTGAAGGGCCAGAGGCTCATTGCTGCTGCAGGAGAACATCTGTGTCTGTCCTCACAGAGCACAGCAGTCTGAGGCCAGATCGGAGTTAATGGTAGAAAATTGTGGTAGTTCTTTAATCCTGGAGCATGAGGGGCATGACTAGGGAAGATGATCTCAGGTTTTTTACATTTTTAAGAAAATTCTGGGGCAATATAGAGAGAATATGATTCTGTTGGTCTTTAGTCTGATAAAAACATTTATCTTAAAAGAGCAACACTGTTTTAGATGTACTGATGTGATTGCTTCTGTTTTCTTCTGCAGGACTCACTCCAAGAAGTAATTTCAGAGACAGACTACCTTCAATTGGTAAACATGACCTCATCAGACAGAACTTGATCTGGTCTCTATGGGTTCTGCAGAACTGCTTTGGTTTAACCTTTTAGTACAAATTTTTGTTCCTTCCAGGTCTCTCTGTAAGCAGAAGTCCATTCAGAGACCGCCTCCCTCCGTATGGTAAACTTTGCCAGCTTTTGGTTTTGGATCATAGGAGTCAGTCTCCTGTGTTCAGAACTTCATGATCCATAATCTTTGTCTTCTTCAGGCTTCTCTCGGCCTCGTTCTGGAAGCGCCCCACCCATTCCAATCAACTTTGTTAGTGCACCGGAAGCCCCGCCCTCTAAAGGTTTCTCACCACCACGCAAACGACCATTGAGGGCAGAACATGTCTCCAAATCTTCCCTGGTACCACAGACTTTTCTAAGCTTATTTATACTGTTTACCTGTCCAGGTAGATGATGTTAGTGGTTCAGGTAAAGATCTCTATTGATCCAGTGTTAGTGTTACACAGATGCACCTGTTCTGGTAAATGGCCTTAGTAGGTCCAGTTGGTTGTTTTAAATGGATTAACTTCATGCTGAAACTTATCAAGTGGGAATGCATAAGTATTTTATTTAACCAATGTACATTACACCAGGTACCAGTACAGAACTGCATTCATTGCATTCAAAGAAAGTGCATAAAGCATATCTTAATACAGAGGAAGACCAAATATAAACAGAGAGGGAACAATAATAATAGTAAAAATAAAATAATAATAATAATAAAAGGGGCTGCATTATATTATACATAGATTCAAGAACAGGGCGTTAAACCAGCAGATTATATTTACTCACAAAAGATAGAAAATTACCAGCACTTTTTGTTCTTACAAATTCTATAGATTTAACACAAGATTTTGTCTCATTTTTCCAATGGGATATAAGTGGTTTACATTTTAAGTAACGGCATTTGTGTAAACAAAATTTAACCAATAAAATTAAAATATTAACACCAAAATGATGTTCAATTTTTGCAATCATACCAAATAAAGCTACTCTTAGGGTAAAATCAGGTAACTGAATTCCTTTAGATTGGATCCACATCAGAAAATCAAGCCAAAAGCTTTGGACTACAGTACAATCAAAGAAAATGTGTTCTAGACTTTCACTTTCAACCTCACAGATACAACAGTTTTCAGTGTCAAAATAAAATTTTTTGCTTAGAAATTCGTTAGTAGGATAAAATATTTAAATTGAATTTCCTTCATTTTTGGAGGTACCGGGTATGATAGGAATTTAGTTCTGAGCATATTTTTTGCTTCTACACAGAAATCTTTGAGAATATATTCTCTCTATATATGGTTGGAAGATAAACAATATGTCAAATAACACCTCAAAAAATTATTGTTAAATCAAAGGCTGAAAAAAATGACATTGTCTATAAAAAATTGTTTGAGCTTTGGAGAAATATCAGAAAATGTTATATCTTGTCTAACCATAGCCTGAAGAGGTTTAGTTTAGTTTATTTAGGATCCCCATTAGCTGTAGCAAGCTACAGCTATTCTTCCTGGGGTCCAACAACAAAACATGAAATAAAAAAAAAATTACAAATGAAATAAAATTATGTGGACATTAAAACAACATCTCCCATAATCTATACATATACATATATACATACACACATATACAGATACATATATACATATACATATATACCCATATACATAAACAGAAACAATCCAAACTAATCAAAACAAACTACAAAGCACAGCAAGTGAAGAAGACAGTCCTAATCATGTTTTACCTCTATATTTAATAAATGTTCTTTCAATGATTTTTAAAATTTCCTTAAATCAGCTATCAGTTTAATGTAATTCGGCAGTAAATTCCATGCTTTCATACCTCTATACATAACAGTTCTTTTTAGGGCATTTGACTTTACTTTAGGCAAACTAAAGTTTCCTTCAGTCGCATGCCTAGTCCTGTATTCGTGATTTTCTGAACTAAAAGTAAGGTTTGTAAATAACATATAAGGTGTTTTTAATACAGATATGCTTCTAATCATAACAGTCAATGAGTATGAAAGTCTGTCTTTAACCAACAACCAGTTTAATTTTTTATGCATTGTTATGATATTTGTCCTTAAATCACACTTCAATATTATTCGGGCAGCTCTATTTTGTACATGTTGTAGTTTATTTAGCATCTCTCCAGGGGCATTTGACCAAACGACTGGGCAGTAATCCATATGAGAAAAAATCAATGATTGGATTATCATTTTAAGAATATGTGGGGACATAAAGGTTGCATGTCTTCTTATGACTGTGATTCCTCTACCCATCTTTGCAATCATGTTATTAATATGTTTTCTCCATAATAACGTGTTATCCACCGTCACTCCCAGAAGCTTGGACTCATGCACATTCCTTATCGAGACGTTATTGATATTAATATTCAATATATGATTACTGTTTACGTTGTAATTTGACCTCACAATCATGCTGTTAGTTTTTGCTGTATTCAATACCAGCTTATTTGCTTTCACCCATTTATCCACTCCCACTAGTTCGTTATTCATAATAATTTCTAATTCATTATTTGTTCTTGCTGATGTATATATAGTGGAATCATCTGCATACATAATTAGGTAAAGAATTGTTTTTAAGATCTGATTGTATTTACTCACATTACACTGAATTTGATACTTTTTTACAAAAGTAATAGGTTACCTCTATTGTCCATGAAATACGGAAGAGGATTAGGGCTACTGATAAAAAAAAAAAAAAAAAAGTTAACTGATTTTTTCATTTTATTTCAGTTATGGGAAGAAAAGTCAGAATTCTGACTTTTTTCTCAGAATTCTGACTTTAATCTCAGAATTCGACTTTAATCTCAAAATTCTGACTTTTTTCTCAGAATTCTGAGTATCTGTTCACTTCTAGGTGAACAGATACTTTTGGACTTTTTCTTCTGGTTAATCAACTTTAAAGGTTTTGCTTTTAAGATGAGTGCGTTTTTGTCATTATTCTGCCAAATGATACTACCCTTGAAAATCTTCAGATGATTCTACTGTTTTCTGCTGTTTGAAGTTTCTGATTACTTCCTATCACATTTTCATATGTTCTTGAGCTATTTTCTGCATCTTTTGGCTTCAGTTTCTTTAGCTATTTTTTCTTTTTTCATACCGCATAAAAAAGCATTCTAGTTAAAAAGCTTTTTCTAGTTAACCTTAATTTTCTATCTTCTCAGACATCTACACTCCCCCACCAGAGGAAGGCTTCCTCTCTTCTCCCCCCTCCCTGTCCACCTCTGTGCTGCCCCCCTAGACCCTCAGCTCACCCCCTCAGGTGTAACGTGGACTCCCTCCTGCACCTGTTTGGCTCCTGGCTGTTTGATGCTGCTTTGATGACCCAGCTGTCCGGTTAGTACAATCTGTCCTTTAGAACATGTTCCTACTGTGATGTATCATGGCAGCAGCAGTACACCTGTGACAGCTTTGGTCAGCAGGTAAACAGACCGATGTCACCGTGATGTCAGAGCGATGGGCAGCAGGGAGGGCAGAGGCCTCCGGGACGCTCTGCAGAATTTTCTCCTGCAAGAAGACAGCAGAAAACATTGATCCCACCTTTTTATCAAGGTAACTGTCTTGTCTGTCAGTTCATGTAACTGGATCCCTGTATTACGGCTGCTCTTGGTCTCCTCTGTCAGGTTCTACCTGGTTCTGATGCAGAGCCTTCAGGAGGCGTGTCCTTCTGTTCTGGTCTCTCTCCTGCTAAACTCCACCAGTCTGTTTTGCTGCAACCTGAATGGGGTCAACCTGCTGCTTCCATCCTTCCTGTCCACCCTGGAGGCGGTGCTGCTTGACAGGTACCAACATCTCCCGGTACAGAACCGGATATGGGCAGGACCTTTTTTCCCTTGCCATTATTCCCTTTTAGCACATCTAATTGTGATTCAACTGATGAAAAACCTCAGTCGAAATCTTCGGAAGCGTTGAGGCTGTTTATCTGTACGAGGAGTCTCCCTCTCTGCCACCGCTTTGACCTAGGTAGGCGCAGGAAGGTGACAGAGGATTTATGGAACTCCGCTTTGACGTATAAACGATTTATAAGGAGATGTTTGGGAACCTGACCAATATGATGGAAGTGTTTAGTGAGGTCCTTATAAAAGATTGATATATCTTCCAGATATACATACATAAAGTTGTTTAGAAAGCCGTGGAAAATGTCATTTATTAGAGCCTGGAAAACTGATGGCGTGTTGCATCAGGCCAAACAGCATTACCAAATACTCAAAGTGTCTAATGGAGGTCTAGAAAGCTGTCATTCACTCATCTTTCAGGCAAATGCAGACTAGATGGTAACCCAGTCAGCATTGTTTACCGTACCACTGTGTGCCTGCTGAAGGGGAGAGCCACTACCCATAAGCAGACTGGCTTATCTAATTCAAGGACAAAGCCTGCTTGTTCTATGGAACAGGAATATCAAATATTCAACCTAGAAAACTAATTTCACCCTGGTAAAGAGGTCTGTGGTTTTTCCTCTCACCTGGAGGCAGGGCTTAAAGCAACTGCTTCAGTTGTTAGTTGGCCCAACAAGGCAAACCTTTCTAGGCGGAGCAGATAGAGATGGAGCAGAGTTGAAATTGTCAAGGAGAAAAGAGGAATAAGAAAGTTGCAGCAGAAGCTATCCATCTATCACCTATCCATCAGCTAACTTTCTGTAACTTCTTGCTGTACTACAGAGATCTGGTTCAGTTCAAGGGTCTTATCAGTCCCGTGGATTTGAGACGCTCCTCTATTCTCATCCTGCTCTCTCTGATGCCCCTCCCTTTGCAGCTTGGATCTGTCCAATTACAGGTAACTACTCTTCCTGCAGTTAGTAACCATGGCAACTTGCATCACATCAACATCCCCTATGTTTCTGCAGGACTCTTCACTCATGATGGTTACCTCTGAAGCGAAAACAAGTAACTTCCTATCTTATAAGCCCTGCCTCCTAAGCCTACTGATTGGGGCTTTGCAGACAGAGACAGACACGTGGAACATACAGCTCCTTCTTGGTTAGTTTCTGCTTCCTGCTTTACCTCACAGCTTTGCTTATTTGTGGTTTAATTACTTTTCATCTTCAGCCTCAGCGTTGAATGCTGTCCATGACTTGGCTGCAGCAGAGGCTCCTCCCACCTCATCTGAATCTGCTCTGGTAACAGTTAATGAGACTGTTAAAATCAACACATTCACGTGTATTTTATTTTCTATCAGCTTCACATTTTAGTTGATGTTTTCCTTACATCTTAATCCAAACACAAAGAACCAGATTTGTTTGACATAATGTCTGAGAAAGGGAGGGAGAAACCCTGGTTCTTTGACTTGATCCGGTTTGATTTGGTTTACATGATCAAAGACTTTGGGCTGAAGTTGGCCTTGGGATCCAGAATTGTGTTTTACCAAGTAATCATCAAATAAAACTCTCTTTATTTTCAGGAAATTCAGTTTCAAAGTGTTGACCTGATCATCATGATAACCTTCATCTGTTTTCTTTTCAGGAAGCTGATGCCCAGTATCGCCTTACCAGTGGAACCAATAGGACCAGGCCAATAAGTAAAGATATTTAATTATTTACATTACAGTTTTAGCACATGTTATGCTATTGGTAATACTATGTGTGTACTACTATGTGTACTAGCTGCCAAATCAGAAGCAGCAGTCCTTTGGGTCCATGTTGTACGCCTACTGACTCAGCGTCTGACGTCTCAGTGGAGAAATGACTCAGCAGTTTGTCTGTCTGTACTGGAAATACTGGGAGGTCTGGCCAAGGTGGACCAACACACACAAACACAAACCTACTTCTGTCCCGTTTTATTTGGGCAAATTCCCATAAATTGGTTTTGACCCGGATCAGTATTGAGCTATGTTTTGCGGTCCTGCAGGTGGAGGTCCAGGTAGAGGACTCAGAGAGGCGCCGTGCCATCAGTTCCGTCTGCACCTACATTGTGTTCCAGTGTAGTCGTCCTCCTCCGCTTCACTCCAGAGAGCTTCACTCCATCATCGTCGCTGCTTTCTGGTGTCTGAACATCTGGCTAAACCAGCACCCTTTTCTGTTGCATCAGCAGGTAAATAACATTCAGGCACCAGAGGTTCTGCTTCTTATGCATCTGCATGTAACTGACCTGAAGGTACAGCAGGTTCTACACCACTTAAGAAAATTTTCCAAGACAACATCAAGCCTTTGCTCCACCAGTAATTTACTGAGCTAAGGTCTCCCGAAGTTCTGAATCAGTGTAGCGGTAACCGGTATAGGACTGTTCTGGAGGTCCCCGAGCATTGTTCTGTTCTTTAGGTAACTGTTTTTGTCCAATATGCTGTCATCAGGAGTGTCTGTTGGAGGTTCTGGAAATAGTTGAGTTGGGAATCTCAGGCAACAAGTCCAGACAGGACCAGAAAGTGGCATGGAAGGAGGATAAAGAGCTGAACCCGGCCTCTCTGAGGGTAAAAGAGGCAGCTGAGGCAACTTTAAGCTGGTGGGTGAACCAAACGTTCTGGTGTCTAGCTATTCTGGAACATGACTTGATCCAGGTCTCCTCAGTCTCTGGAGATTCCTTTAAACGTCATGTTTTCATTAAGGAATAGTTCAGGTTCTGCTTATTGGCTCAAACCTAAACTGGATCTGTTTCAGTATCATGCAGGTTTCAGGAGCATGCACGTGTCTCGATGGGTCTCTTAGAGAGGACACTCTGACACTGAGTGAAAGCACCCTGAAGAAGTCCAAATATTTTGTGCTGGAAGGTTCCGTAATCCTGTCCACATTGGAGCCAAAACCAGGACCAGATCAAGGTAAACATAGAACTATAGACGGCTCTCAAACACATCATGTAAAACACAGGTGTCAAAGTGGTTCCAGAAAGGGCCGTGTGGCTGCTGGTTTTCTTTCCACCCAAGCAGTAGCACACCAGACTCCATTCATCTCATCAAGGTGAGTCTAGTCTTAACCTGATGACTTGATGGGATGAATGGAGTCTGGTGTGTTAGTGTTTGGGTGGAAAGAAAACCAGCAGCCACACGGCCCTTACTGGAACGACTTTGACACCCCTAGAACATCTAAAGACGTTTTAGAAATGTGTTTCTTACTAGTGGTTTCTGTTCTGATTACACTATGGATTTTCTTTATTGGTCCAATGTTTCATCTGCAAATTACATACATATACTCATATACAACATCCCAAAAGAAAAAACAAAAGACATAAGTCCACCCCCTCAGAAACTGAGAATAAACATTTCATCATTTACATGACATAAAACATCTCCAACTCCCTAAATAGAAATAAACTGATTCAAGTCTGACACCATCCTATAATAGGCAAACTCTGTCTTTATTTTTTATTTTTTTGGGAGTTTTTACGGCACTAGTTGCTAGTTTTTTTACAGTAGGCTGAAATGAAAGGGGGTATGAGAGAGGGGGGAGAGACATGCGGCAAAGGACCACAGGCCAAATTCGAACCCGGGTCGGCTGCGTCGAGGACTAAGGGCTCCGTACATGGGTCGTGCGCGCTGACCACTGCACCACCTACACACCCAAGCTCTGTCCTAAGACGTGCAACGACCAGGCCTCTAAACATCAGTTCAACATCTACAGATCCTGCCTCCTTTATTTTATTTATCCTGGTGAGCCAAATGCTCATCTTTGCCTGACCAAACAAAAAGTTAACCAGACAAATATGCTGCTGAATATCTAGGACCAAAAATAAACATTTCATGTTAAAACTGTGTCTTAAATCAGCCACCTACTGTTTTAACAAAGGGAAGAGAGGAGCTGGTCTGGGACATCTGATCCAGAGATGCTGTAGCATTTCCCTTAGCCTGACAAAAGGCACACTGACTCCCTGATCTGTGATCAATCAGAGCCACATAGCTGTTTGTGGCCACGGCACCGTGCACAACCCTCCACTTGGAGATCCGCACTGCGTTTCTCTATGGGAGGTTTGTACAGGGATCTTCAGCTGCCCCTGGGAGATGAACTTGGCGGCACACATCAAACCACCTCGCCTCTCTGACTCCGGCCAGCATCTCTCTGTTCAGGACCTTCACAGACACAGCATACAAACTTTTTTTTGATACTTCAGAGAACTTCCTCAGCTCAGGTGTTCTGAATGATAACAGAAGTCCATCCTCCTGCTCCTCCACTGCAGCACAAATGGACAACTCAGGAAATCCAGTTCTGTTCTGATTACAGATGCAAGTCCGTCCCTGCTGGTCGTCTTTAGAGGACCATCAGGACATCACAGCTGGTCTCTACAGCTCCACCTGCTGCCCAGAGATGAACGATCCACACAGGTGATCATATGATTTCACCGATTAACTGGGAACTGCTGCAGTATTTTTTAATAGTGTTTACAGCGACCTACTCAGCCGGCATATGGTGCTGTATCTTCAGATCCCATATGTCTGCCAAGCAGTTGGTCTGGTTCAGCTTTGGAGTCTGGTTTTGGGATGTTGATGAAAAACCTCAACAGTAAAATAGTCTTTAGAAGGGTTTTTGTTTCATTCCTTGATTAGACACAGAGAACACCGATCCCAGAACAACGAACTGAAACTGCAGAGGATGTTGAAAAGCAATGTTCCATAAACCATCAGTTGGCTCCTGAAATCATGGAGAGAATTGCTTCAGTGAGAGCAGATGAGAGCATCCCTGCACTGACCAACTCTGGAACCTCTGAGGTAAGACCTGTCAGACAACAATCAGACTCAGGTTTCTATGAGGATAAGTATACATTTTAGGCATTAATGTTTGTTAGAGATCAATGAAAGTTTAATCTACAGTTAATTGAATTCAAATCAATTTATTTATATTGCTCCATGTTATAACACACATAATATCAAAGCACTCTACCAAGTAGTTTAATTAGATATCCAAACAGATTGTATGAAAACTTTTAATCTCTGGAAACCCAGGTGACTGACAGACTGAAACCAGAACCAGGCTCAGTCTGAAAAAAGCAGATTGTAGCCCCAAGCTCTGGTTCCTTTACCTCCCTTTCCATGGGCAGGAAAGGAGCCCTGGACTGCTTTACTAGTTTCAGTGCATGGATGATCCCAGAGCCTATGTTGTGTGGGAATTAAATCCCCCTGGTAGGGTCTCCCAAGGCAAACAGGCTCTAAATGACAGATCGGACAAAGAGTAGTTCAAAAAAAGCTCTTATGAATACCATAAAATCAAGACACGTGGTTAGAGCAGTGTGCTTGTGCTCTGAGAAGGTTGCAGGTAGCTGGTTTGATCCCCACAGCCTGCACCCGTGGTCTCTGAGCAAGACCCTTAACCTATAATTGCTCTGCACAGTGGCAGCCCAATGGTCCCCAAGGGAATGGGTTGAGATGCAGAAGCAAATTTCTCCATTGTGAGATCAATGATTTTTAATGATATAATTATTTACCATGATAGACCGGTGCTAAGCAGTCAAAGGTGGAGACCTTTTTGACCGGATCCATGGAAGTTAAAACTGACCCTGGAAGCTCCTGATGCTAAAGAAACTATGATAGGAAGCATCCAGGCTCTTTTTCCTACCATCTACCTAAATGCCAGCACTCATCATGGCAAATCCGATTAACTTCCACCCCTTACAGATTTCTGCATTCAGGTTGAGCCTAATTAACTAGTGAAAGAGAAAAAAAAAAGTAGCTAGTGTTTTGGTGGAGAACACAAAGTCAGCAGCAGGGGTCCAAATGATGACTCCCTTCAGGATGGTATCACAGCTAAACAATACCAGCCCCAATGTCGCTACTGTGAAGAGAAAAAAACCCACTAAACAAAAAGTAAAATTAAAAGTTAAAGTAACATAAAAGACAAAATTGGACAGTAGTGGAATAATGTAGCAGAGTAAGGAAAAGTGGTCTTTATTTCCTCCTGCACCCTAAGACCATAGCAGCATAAATACAGAGATAACTCAGAATAACCCTGAGCCAGTCTTACTGTAAGCTCTATCAAACATTTATGTTTTAAGCCTCCTCCTTTAAGTCATAAACTAAAACTTGGTTTTAGTCCAGGTTGGCCTCACAGGAGAAGAACCTAACAACTAAAAAGATCTACCACCCATTCTACTTGTAACACCTCAAGGAACCACCAGCAAATCTTTAGAAATTCTAGAAACTTGTTTGATTTGGGTTTTAAATGACTTGTCCTGATTAAACATAAGATCAAAGTACTTTATTACTGAAGTGACTGAGTAAGCAGCTTCTTTTCAAAGAAGATTAATTCTCTCTTGACTGAATTTAAAAGCAGAAAACCTAAAGTTTCCAGGTTTTTGTCTTTGAAACATCTCTACTTTAGGTGCAGCAGCAGTTGGAGAATCTACGAGCAACCTTGAAAACTCAGCAGCTTATTGAATCTCTGCCTCAGCTGAGCACCCATTCAGTCGCTACGGTACCTTGCAGACCACCACCTCCAATTAACTGCTTCCAGCTGACAAGACTCTTCTTATCCCATCTGGGATTGCTGACTCCCGAGAGTGTGAAGGTATTACTGACTTCAGAGACCCCCCCCCCCCCCCCCCCCCCCCCCCCCCCCATCAGACTTGCCTGTTCATTCCTCACCTGTCTCTCTGGCCTCTTTGTAGGACCCAGGTATCAACAGCGTCCAGCCAGCTCTCTTGTCTTTGGACTCATCACTTCCAGGTTTCTCAGAGAACCTGAGACATTTGGATCAGCTTCCATCCAGAAACACTGATTGTGCATTTGTCTTCTACATGAGAGCCGGACAGAGGAAACCCAGAGAGGTATTCCTTTACTTCTCTTAACTGTCCAAACTCCATACATCTGTTGTGGAGCCTTCTGTCTTGTGTGTCTCCAATGTTTTTCAGTCTGCCTGTACTTTCCATCTTCCTGCAGATCTTAGAGAATGTTGAGAAGCAGGCAAGTGTCAGCAGTCATTTCTTGGACTTCTTGTCTTCTCTTGGTTGGCCGGAAGAGGTGGGACAGATGTGGGTTGCCAGGGCCAGTCATTCAGGTGAGCTCTTTGTATAATGAAAGTGCAGGTGTCTGGGTTCTGTGATTACCAGACCAGTCTGTGCCTGTTTTCCAGAATTCTCGGCTGTTTTGGGTGACAGTGGAGGCGCAGTGTTTGATGGAAGGAGGTTTGTCCTAAAGTTTGGAGACGCTTTGTCACAGATTACCTTCATCGTTCCTTCATTACACACCTACAGTCAGTGTCTGATGCTACTCTTACCAATAACGTTCAAGATGATCATCAGCATGAAAGTTTACCTGTCATCGGTTTAAAATCTTTTTTTTTTGAGACAGCTGACTGGCTGAAGCGTTCTGAGGAGGTGAGGCAAGCTAGTGTTTCATCATCGAATCAGAGACGAGCTGAGGTGAGGCCAGACACCACTCCCCCCTCTGTACTCTAAATCTCTCTAAATCTGTCTCTATTTGTTGCTCACCTGATTTTTTTTTTTAGACCCGTCCGTTAGAAGACATCAGATGCTGTCATGGTGTCTCATCATTTTTCAGCTCTGATTCAAAGCTGATGATTGTTTGGGTTGAACGCTTCGAGGACATTGGTAACAAAACAAGAATGCACCACTTGCTCACGCGCAGAAAAAGCATTTTTTATGGCACTAAACAATTTGGGTGTAGAAATTTTAGACATTAGCACTTTCAATGCAATCAGCATCAGAAACTAGAAGTCACCCACCTTTTTCAATAACAACAAACGCTTCACTTATTGGTCTGAAAAAAAACAAAGCCCCCGCCCACTTCTTCTCCATAAAGCTAATAGCTCTGTCCATATTTATTTAGTTTTTTCTGAACTAACTGGTCAGTCTCCTTTTGAACCTTGTTTTCCAGAGAAGTTTCCTCTGACTGATCTGCTGTTAGAAACGAAAGCGCAGACAGAGGCAAGGTAAATCTCCAACGCTCTGTTACAAGATAAGTTGACCTGGATCAGAAGTCAGCTTCCTCCTCCAGTGCCGGATCAAATCGACAGACTTTTGTCCATCTTTCTCGTAGTGTCGCTAACATCCAGCTGATCTTCATCCATCCTCTGAAAACGGGACTCTACAGGATATCTTTTCATGGAAACACCAACAAGCTGGGACTGGTCGTCCCGTTAGTGAATGGGATGGTAACCACCAGAAAATCTCTGGGTAAGAAACTCTCCGAGAAAAATTGATTGGGACGTTTCCATATTTTAAAAAAAGTTGTTAAAACAGCAAAGATGTTAAAGACTGTGATGTTATGGGTCTCAAAGTTTCTGTAGAGCTACAGGTTCTGTCAGGTTTTGAAAACATTCTGTAGGCAGTGAACACTGACCCTCGTTTGATAGTGTAACCCTCAGCTCTACCTCCCAGGATTGACTCTGAGAGATCTAGAATAGTTTTGCCCCTTTTCCACTAGGACCAACTCTAAGTGCTTTAGTATAGTGATGTTACTCGCTAGTAGGTTTTTCTATTTGTAACGGTTCCAGCAGCTTTGAAAAGTGTGAAAAATGTGTCGTCAGTGATTGGAGAGGCAGCGTCACTAGTCAGTGTATTGAATAAGTAGTTTTTTAGTGGTTAAATAGTTTTACGATGGGATAATTAATGTCTAAAGGCTGATTTATACTCAGAAACCAGGTCGTCTGCGTTTTTGTGTCGCAATGTATGCCTCAGACACTCTGCTGCACCTCTCCAAAATTGTAGGTGGCCGCAGACAGTGCTGCAGACAGGAGGCCTCTGATTGGTCAAATGTACATCCACTCTCCTATTCACTCACTACCCATCACTTCCTTAAGGCTTTCCCACCAAAGGTCGGTGCTCGGGGGTTGTGGCTTTAGCCAGAAGATTGTTATTATTTTCTTTGCGATCATAATCAGTATTTGAATAATTTTCTTTTTTTCTGTTTAACAATGTATTTGGTGAAATGCTCAGCAGGAATGTTTGTAAATCTATGTTCAATTTTTCTTTGCAAATAGTTTCAATCTTTTTCCTTACATCATTCCAATATTCTTTAATTTTGGAACAATCCCAGAATATATGTTTGTAGTCTCTTTTCTGGCCACAGCCCCTCCAACACTTTGACATTTTACTGTATTTTGATGAGATACTTGGTACAATAAAGAATTGCAATATTGATTTCCAGTCAAACTCTTGCCATGAAACACTACTCAACATTGTATGTCCTACTATGAAGGATTCCTCCCACCTTTGTTTTGATATAATTATATTTTCTTCTTTCTCCCATTTTTGTTTTATATCCTCATTATCATCTACTTCTATCTGCAGGGCTTTATACAACTTTGAAATTACCTTTATAGCAGTGTTGAAGTTTGTCATTAGGATCTCTTCTAAACAATTTGGTTTCTTCAGGATATATTCCCGATCCCTATCTAGTTTAATGGAGTTAATATAAGCCAATGAGCTGTGGGATGATGTGAGGTCTAATCAAACTTGCATATAACCGCACACTCGTGTTTTGCAATGTGTGAGCGAAATATAACCTCTCAAAAAGGTTTTATTTTACTTTTCTGAGTATGAAGAGACTGGTAGAGTCTCTTTCAGAGAGAGGCAATGTCTGTAAATATAGTGTAAATATGTTGTAAAAGTGAGAATTACTCAGCTTAGTACTTTATAGCGTGGCTAAGGTGGGTTTCCCACTCAAAATCCCAGCTCAGGCCTTTGAGGATGCAACACATATTCTGCGAGGGCATGAGAGAGAAGAGGGTTGAATGTTCATGCCTTTAACATTCTCTAGAGACAAAGGGATCATTAAGGTTGTATGGAAATTTAAAAAATATATCAAATTTTAACCCTCAATACGTATTATTAGGAATGTTTAAGATGTTTTTGGGGGGTACTTTGAAACAGTAGATTTTTCAGCTGATCTACCTGTCTGATCCCTGTTGTTTCTTACCATTCTGTCCTCCTCAGGGTTCCTGGTCACAGAGATGGTCTCTAACTGCTCACATCGTCGCCGCTTGGAGAGTGACTCCGCCTCTCTGCCTCACATTAGAAGGAAACACCTGATCAATGAGATCATCCTTTGCTATAAGAGTCACTGCTCTGAACCGGCCTTCTACTCCACCATTTTTCATCTTTGATTTGTTGCCGTAGTAACCAGATGTATAATTTACAGGAAACTGGATCAGAATGAGAAGCTCCAAACCAACCACTCTGAGAGCAGAGAGTTAAAAGGAAAATAGAAAAAACGAATCTTAATCTCAAATGATAAACTGACTCTATATCCTAGAACCAACCAGAACTTCTTCTTTAGGTATTATTTATACCTTTGATGAACCAGAGAGGCTTCTGGTTAGAGCTTCTATTTCTCCAGGTGGGATGAAGGTGATTGATCCAGAAGTCAGAGCAATAAAACCTTTTCATTTCACTCATACTGTAACCAGTGAAAAAAGTCCAGCATTAAGTTCTGATTTATCAACTGACTGTTTGTTTGATGATGAACGTTGTTTAATAAGTATATTACTGACTTTGACAAATGAAAAAAGCACAGTGCCAGTTTATAATAGGACATACTAACTTTTCCTAAACACTCTGTTCATTTCATTCTGCTAATTTCTTCTGGTTTATTCAGAAGATCAGATGTTCCTTGAATTTTTGGAGTCCTTCTGGATTTCAGTTTGGTGTTTAGTCTTTCCATTCAGTACAAAGACATGTTATCATCTCCTATTGTTCTATAAATGATTTTGATGCTTATTTAATTTTTGACTCTTCTTGTTCCTGAAACTGAGCAGAAAATAAATTAATTCAATTCAGTTTATTTTATTTATATAGCACCAATTCACAACACATGTCATCTCAAGGCACTTTACAGTTCACCCAGATCATACAGTCAAATTGATTCAAAGTGTTCTATCTAAGGAAAACCAGTTGATTGCATCAACTCATTGACTCAAATGCAATCCCTCACACTAAGCATGCTTGTAGCGACAATGGAGAGGAAAAACTCCCTTTTAACAGGAAGAAACCTCCAGCAGAACCAGGCTCGGTGTGAGCGGCCATCTGCCGAGGCCGACTGGGATTCAAGAACATTAGTCTCTAGAAGAACTTGTTCTGGTTCTGTGAAGATATGGCTCGGTGGAAAACTAACTTTCTCTGCTCGGCAGAATCAGTGTTCAAAATTTTGTTTTGTATCCATTGCCATTCTGGAACGAGTTGAGTTCCTGTCTCTAACCTCACCATTCTGAGTGGAGTCCTGCCACCTGAACTAAACCATCTTGCCGAATGTTGATACACTTCTGCTTTGCCATAGCTGTCCTTACAGATTTGCACTATTTGGAAGGAAGATTTAATTTAAGAACTTTTTGGGATGATACTTTGTTTATTTGAAGATGTGAAAAAATTACAATATGTTTCTTATGTTTCCCATTTAAAGCCATGTTCCATTTTGTTCTGCTGGTTCCTATAGATAGCGAGGCTCAATTTGTTATGATGTTCACTTTAAATAAGCAAAGAAAAAAATTTCCACACCAATATTAGTTGATATGTCCTTAATCACATGGTCTGTTATAGAGCTGTAGGTCTGGTCTTAGTAAACCTGATTGGACTTGGCTGCTCTTTTTCGGTTTGGCTCGGCTTCATAAATCCAATTTGATTACCAGTTATGTGGTTTGATCCTGGATATGTCTATTGGTGAGGACTCTGTCATGAGGGACACATTGACCAGGCCACCAGAACCCACCAGGATCTGGATTGTATCTGAAGAAAGGTTTAAATTATTTTATTGTTGGTTTGTGTTTTTGTTTATTTTTTGATAAAGGATGTCATCACAACTGATCACTCAGCAAATTATCCTTAAACAAACAACAAAGCAAAGGAATAAATCAAAGAGAGCCAATCAGAGACCAGCCCCTCCTCCTCTATTCTGGTTACCACGGTAACCACTGTCAGAGGATCCGCATCCCCGCTCAGCTTGATGATCAAACATTTCTAGTCAATAACAATCCCTCTGAATCTGTCCAGATTTTGATGATTATCGGTCTCTTGCGTCATCCCGTCGCCTGACGCACACAGAGATGAGGCAGAGGATGAAGATCTGCTGATCAGCCAATCTGCAACGTAGCCATCCTGCGGCTTTTCTCTGCATCCCTCCATCTTCCAGCAGCGATGCTCCCGTAGCCTCCGCCCCGCCTCGAGGCTCCGCGCGCGGGCAGGCTGTAGCTCCGCGGCTCGGTGTGCGTGCCTGCCATGGTGCAGAAGTCCCGGAACGGCGGGGTGTTCCCCGGAGCGCAGGCCGAGCAGAAGAAGCTGAAGGTGGGCTTCGTGGGCCTTGAGTCCGGAGGGACGGAGTCCAGCAGGGACGGAGCTCTGCTCATCGCAGGTGAGCTCTTCCACGGGGCCGCGCACAAATGATAATTGCGCGCGCGTCTTAGGAGCGGGATGTTTAGGAACAGGTAAAGTTATCCAGGACATAAATAAACGGTCCGGGTTATTATCCAGACATGCAAGTCCAATTTGAGCACTTTCAGAAGGGTACGTTTATATTGTACCGTGCACGCGCTTTTAGAGGCCCCTGAGATGATGCTGCATCCTATGAAGAACTGAGGAACCTTTCAGAGTCAGCAAATCCATCAGAGAGCGAGGGGACAGTTACAGAGTTCATAGGGTCTTGTTTGCACAGCGAGAACAGGGTGATACTGATCTGGATCAGAGTCAGGACGGGATCATATTGATTCTGGATCAGGGTCAGGACTGGATCATTGATTCTGGATCAGGGTCAGGATGGGATGATATAGATTCTGTATCAGGGTCTGGACTGGATTATTGATTCTGGATCAGGGTCAGGACGGGATAATATTGATTCTGGATCAGGGTCTGGACTGGATTATTGATTCTGGATCAGGGTCAGGACGGGATGATATAGATTCTGTATCAGGGTCTGGACTGGATTATTGATTCTGGATCAGGGTCAGGATGGGATGATATAGATTCTGTATCAGTGTCAGGACGGGATAATATTAATTCTGGATCAGGGTCTGGATTGGATTATTGATTCTGGATCAGGGTCAGGACGGGATGATATAGATTCTGTATCAGGGTCTGGACTGGATCATTGATTCTGGATCAGGGTCAGGACAGGATAATATTGATTCTGGATCAGGGTCTGAACTGGATTATTGATTCTGGATCAGGGTCAGGACGGGATGATATAGATTCTGTATCAGGGTCTGGACTGGATTATTGATTCTGGATCAGGGTCAGGATGGGATGATATAGATTCTGTATCAGTGTCAGGACGGGATAATATTAATTCTGGATCAGGGTCTGGATTGGATTATTGATTCTGGATCAGGGTCAGGACGGGATGATATAGATTCTGTATCAGGGTCTGGACTGGATCATTGATTCTGGATCAGGGTCAGGACAGGATAATATTGATTCTGGATCAGGGTCTGAACTGGATTATTGATTCTGGATCAGGGTCAGGATGGGATGATATAGATTCTGTATCAGGGTCTGGACTGGATTATTGATTCTGGATCAGGGTCAGGATGGGATAATATTGATTCTGGATTAGGGTCTGGACTGGATTATTGATTCTGGATCAGGGTCAGGATGGGAGGATATAGATTCGGTATCAGGGTCTGGACTGGATTATTGATTCTGGATCAGGGTCAGGATGGGATGATATAGATTCTGTATCAGTGTCAGGACGGGATAATATTAATTCTGGATCAGGGTCTGGATTGGATTATTGATTCTGGATCAGGGTCAGGACGGGATGATATAGATTCTGTATCAGGGTCTGGACTGGATCATTGATTCTGGATCAGGGTCAGGACAGGATAATATTGATTCTGGATCAGGGTCTGGACTGGATTATTGATTCTGGATCAGGGTCAGGATGGGATGATATAGATTCTGTAACAGGGTCTGGACTAGATCATTGATTCTGGATCAGGGTCAGGATGGGATAATATTGATTCTGGATCAGGGTCTGGACTGGATTATTGATTCTGGATCAGGGTCAGGATGGGAGGATATAGATTCTGGATCAGGGTCTGGACTGGATTATTGATTCTGGATCAGGGTCAGGATGGGATGATATAGATTCTGTATCAGGGTCTGGACTGGATTATTGATTCTGGATCAGGGTCAGGATGGGATAATATTGATTCTGGATCAGGGTCTGGACTGGATTATTGATTCTGGATCAGGGTCAGGATGGGATGATATAGATTCTGTATCAGTGTCAGGACAGGATAATATTGATTCTGGATCAGGGTCTGGAAGGGATTATATAGATTCTGGATCAGGGTCAGGGTGGGATAATATTGATTCTGGATCAGGATCTGGATGGGATCATTGATTATGGATCAGGGTTGGAACAGGGTGATACTATTCTGGATCAGGGTCAGCAAAGGATCCTATTGATTCTGGAGGGTCAGGATGGGATGATATAGATTCTGGATCAGGGTCAGGAGGGGATGATATAGATTCTGTATCAGGTTCTGGACTGGATAATTGATTCTGGTTCAGGGTTAAATTTACTGGAAAGATTTGCTTCTTTTGGTGAGTATTTTGCCTTAATCTGACCCAAATCCAGCAATAACCATGAGGTGGCGTTCAATATTTATGCACCAGGGAGGTTTGAGGCCATGAATAGCAGAAGAAATTAAAGAAAAAGAAAGCCAGCTGGAATCTGAGTATACAAGAAAGCATTTTCCTACCTTTTTAGGCCATTAGTCAATTCACTTATGTATTAACTATCTGGTGGTTTTCTTGGCTACGTTTCTCCTTAGGTAGCCTGGTGGACAGAGTGAGTTGACTTTTCAATGGAACTGTCCCAGTTCTCCAGAATGTCTATTACCAGGACTTTCTTACAGTTTCTTCTGGAAGAAAAGGAAAAAAAAAGTTCAGTAGCTTTTATTTTTCCCAGTATGGGCAATTTTTGTGCAGTAGTAGTACACCTTTCACACACACGTTCACATTTCACAAATCACAGATAAAAAAAAAAAAAAGAAACGCATAAAATATTTAAAAAGATAAAAGTAAGGTGGATAAAAGAGAGAGAAAAAAATAAAAAGTAAATAAATATGTAACACATTTTAATAATAAAAATAATAAATTAAATGAAATAATAATAATAAAAAAACATCCTTTCTTCCAGTTTCTTCAACTTGTCAGGAAGATGCTCATCTCTGCATTTCGACTAGATCAGAAAAGTCTTTCAGGGATTTTGTTGCTGATATTAAGTATTGTTCACAAGTGAAAAATAAATCTAACATGAAGCTATCCAGTGCATTTTTGGCATTTAGCGATTTGACACTGTTTTTGGATATAATGGATAGGCAGCTAGCGCTAACTACATGCTTAGACGTCAGATTTGCTTTGCTTCAGTATGTTTTGAAGAGAATAGCAGGTGAAAATTGGTTCGGCAGCAGGAAGTATTCACCAGTTTGCTTCCAAACAACAACGGCAGACAGATCCTGGTGGAACAGTACTTGGCAAAAACCTCCACTGCCCAGCTGGCACTCTGCAGACTTGCTGGAAATTTATGTGCAGCGTGCCAAACACTATCCACTTAAAGCTGAGTGTGTCCAAAGACAAAACTGAAGTGAAAGAGTGTAATGTTGTTCTATACATCAACAAATCACAAACAGATGCAGAAATATTCATAAACAAATATCAGCAGTAGACACTAATTTGTGAACAGGAGTGTTTGGAAAACTACACTAGCTACTGTTACAACAGAAAAGTCTAAAGGTGATTGAAGATACAGAAAGTTACTGTGCCCACCAGTTTTACGCAGTTACTTTAGTCCCAAATGTATGACATAGTTTCAAAACGAGCATATTTTTTCTAATGTTTTTAGATATTGTTATTTTTATTTTTTATTTAATAGCTTATGATCTCATTAATGAAAGCTTTGAAGGCCTCCCATCTAATGCTTGCTACTATTTCAGTAGGGTTTAATTTAAAGTATTCATTGATCCATTTTTACAGATCTTTAGCTAATGGCTTGTCCTGTAGGTTTGCATTCTATAATTTGTGGGATAAACAAAGTTATCTCAGTAAACATTTATAAGCAGTGCAGTCTGGCTAGAATTTTACTGTTACACCAACATTTTTTAATATTTGATGAACAGAAATCCAAAAATAATCAATGTGTGAGTGGCTTTTATATATGATAAAATATTATTAGTGTTCTTTTAGTTTAAGTTCTGATATCTCAGTATTTAAGACAAATTAAGGGCCTTAACATTGTTTATTAATATCCCCTCATTAATATGTGAGTTGGGTTTGATTAAATAGATCTGTACAGTTCTGGGCTCAGGGCACAGTTGTAGAAAAGCTCACATTTTTTTATGAGGAGATTATGAAATATAAGCTTTTAAAGAATGCAGGTCGGTCCTGATTTTGGCCAAACATATTGAAAATTAGGTTTCTATGATAATGAGATGCATTGCATTGTAATGCATCTACTCTATAGATCCCATATACTGTGTGAAATTTAGAAAGGTATGGTTCTGTGCATCGAAATAACTCCAATACATATATAGGTAGTGTAAATGCCATGTATGACATTATCTGGTCATTAAATGATTTCTGTCTAAAACAGTCAAATATGATTTTCTTTTTATTTAAGGTGCTTTATTAAATGTTATAAACTGCAAGTTTGAAAGCCCCATGCAGTACGACGTTGAATATTGCGAGCTTCACTTCATCAAAACTCTGAAGTTGTTTGAAAGAAAAAGAGGATAGTGATGGGTAATTGGGTAAGAAGCCATGCACGCATTCACATCACAGTTAACTATAAGAATATTCCTCCTTAGTGTGAGGTGTTGGGAGCAGCTTTTCACCCTAACTTTACCACAACAATTACAAAAGAAGAAAATAATCTAATTTCGCATGTATCTGTAATGAAACAACAATAAATAACAAACTGGTGATTGTCTTAAACAATTATCCCTTAAGGTTTATATTATATATTAGCATGTTGTGCATCTTAAATAAAGCCCACTGGGTTATCAAATGTATAAAAACGGCAAATAAAACAGCAGGGAAAACTTATATGAGCAGCTTATAGCGGTTAGAAGATCAATTGTTTAATAATCTTCATAAGTTATGTTGGAGGATGTGGTTTCTGTAAAATCCCTTAGTTATTTTTCTTATAAGCTGAAGAGGAAGAAGAGGATTTCTCTGGTTTCAGCTCAGCTCCAGCCTTCAAGGAAGCATGTCCTTAATGAAATTAATTTGTGTTTGTTTACCCTCCTATCTCCAGCCTGAGAAGATGCAGATCGTTCCATCTGTCAATGTTTTTTATGTAACCTGTCTTAGCATCAGGAAGGAGAATCAAAACCAGGAAAAGCTTTAGTGCCAAGCAAGGTTTCTATGTACAAGGAATTTGTTTTTCAGTAATAAGGTAGTTCTCATAGACAGGCAAACATACATGTTACATCAATAGATAGACAAATATTTATTTAAAATAAATATGTCCAAGTACCCAAGACACATCAACAACTGGAGGCATAGTGACAGGACCCCATGCTGTCATACATGGAAGGAGCACCATGGCAGCTATTAAAAATAAACAAGAGTGTAAAGACATAATGAAAGTATACATAAACACATGTGCTGAGACTCCAGCAGGACACAGTGAGACCCAGGCCTAATTGAAGAGGCTTGTAGCAGGTGAGAAGAAGCTGTTTTTATGGGTTAAGGTTCTGGACTGCAGGCTTCTGAGGAAGGTCTTAAACTGTTTGTGTCCTCCAGGACTACCTGCTTGCCTCAGAGTCCTGGAGGTGTACAGTTCCTTAAGAAAATAAAACTTAGAGTCTGACTCCCTCTTTGCAGACCAATGATAGGCTTCAGCCTGCCCTTGCTGCTGGGGAGCAATCTTAAGGGTCTTGCTCAGGGACTCAGAGTGGCAGTCCGTGGGAGCGTGTCTTGATTTTAGAACGTTCGAGACCCAAGCGTAATGCCATAACCACTAGGACACCACTCCCCTTCAAAGCAAAGTTCCCTGATTCGAATCGAGCTGCGACCGTAAGCGCAAAATCCGAACCACTAGACCACCAGGGAGTAGCAGCAACATAGTAGAGGAAGGCGATTTTCCCTGTTTTCACGTGATTGTTCTACTTTGAGCATGCATGAGCTGCCAGCTCATGTTAAACGTGCATCATTATCTCATTTGATCACGGTCCAATTTTTCTCCATCACGTTGACTAAGGTTACCATATGTCAGTCAAATGCGTTCCATATGATCCAACTTTGTTCCAAAATCTACATGGAACGATTTTAACTCACATAGAACTTTATTTATGCTAACCATCGAGTTAGCATCACTGCTACCTGGTAGGATGGACTGGTTTTTGTATTAATTTTACTTTGATGAGTGAAAATGTAATTTGGCTTTTTTGGTGAGGGTTTGGCCATATTAGCACTTGTTTTTCATCAGAAAACATATCCGTGCATTGGGAAATTAAAATGTAGTGGCCTATGCTCTTTGTAACTTTTCACCAAGCTGCCATCTGGTCAATGGTGGTTGGTCAATAACCATTATTGCTGCAACCTTTTTGAACATTTGGTAGGATTGTTTATTAAAGGGAATATCTCTCTCTCCAGGTGGAGATGAAGGTCCTCGTCGTCAGCGCAGCAGCGTTTCTGGAGGCAAGAAACCTCCGAAAAGAAACGCCCTCTACAGGAGGCTGCAGAACTTCCTGTACAACGTCCTGGAGAGACCTCGAGGATGGGCCTTCATCTACCATGCCTATGTGTAATGATCTCAGTCAACATCTCACATACCTGTCTGCTAATGCTTTTACCTCATTATTTATTTACCTCTTTTATTTTAGTTATGCAGATTTAATTTTATTATTGAATAGTAAATAAGCTTTTTCACCACTGCTCAGAGATTTCAGAAGCAGTTGAGTCTGCAAACAGATATCAGATCAATTACAACAGCTGGAATGAAGCTCTGAATTATTGATCTGGGCTCAGTTTTCATGGGTTTATTGATTGTCTGTGTCCAGGTTCCTGCTGGTTTTCTCCTGCCTGGTTCTGTCTGTGTTCTCCACCATCAAAGAGTATGAAAAGAGCTCAGAAGATGCCCTCTACATTCTGGTAAAGAAAAACAAAAGAAAAAAGTTAATGCTAACTTTTACTGTGAGTGTAACAGGCTTGTACTCTTCGTTAGTTTGGCCTTATTCAGAACCAGTCATTGTGATTAATTAAGGCTAAATATATCTGCTGGTGCAGTTCTCTGACTGTTAGGTAGTGATGATGAAGATAAAGATGCATGTTGGATTTAGTGTCTTTTTTAAAGAATATGCTTGTTAGTGCTACTATTCAAAATGAAACAAAAAGAAATGTCTTTTTTGTTTCCTTCTTTTCCTTACGGAAGATGATTACTGTAGGGCCGCTGAAAAAAAAAGTTTACTGATTTTGACATTTTATTTCAGTATAATATGAGAAAAAAGTAATAATTCTCAATTTTTTTTTCATAATTCTGACTTTTTTTGGAGTTTTTACAGCACTAGTGGCTTGTTTTTCTGACAGTAGGCTGGCAGAAAAGGGGGTATGAGAGAGAGAGGAGAGACATGCAGCAAAGGACCACAGGTCGGATCGAACCACGGTCAGCTGCGTCGAGGACTAAGGCCTCCGTACATGGGTCGTGCGCACTAACTATGTCCAGAATTCTGACTTTTTATTACAATTTTGACTTCAATTTCACAATTACTGGATTTTTTCTCAGAATTCTGACTTTAATCTCAGAATGTTGGATGTTAATGTAGATGGGCACCATGAAGGAAGAGATGTAGGTTCATTCAGCTTCACTGACAAAGATGTGAGTTGATTGAGAGGGCCATTGACACATTGGTGGAAAAATGACGCAATTAGGTGACTTTTTACGTACCCGAGGGGTCCCAGGTGATGCTATTTCATTAATGGAAGAGCAGAAGGTAGTTAAAACAAGAGAGCTAGTTTCTAAAACAGACATTGCTATGGCTTGATGCTAACATGTTTGTTAGTTGTCAGAATTCAATCAGAATTCTGAGAAAAAAGTCTGAATCCTGAGATTAAAGTCAGAATTCTGACTTTTTTCCCATACTATACTGAAATAAAATCTAAAAATCAGTTAACTTTTTTTATTTTTTCAGTGGCCCTAATCCTCTTCTGCGGTTCCTTCATCAGGTCATCACAACATTTTTCTTTTAAATTCAAACCTCCTCCTCAGCTCAGGAGATGAAGGGCCTTCCTCTGATACCTTCAAAGTTCTGGGACTTAGAACGATCTGTGCCTTATCTCAGCCTGAACCATCTTTGCTAAAAACTCTGAGGTCTGCTCTACAGATGTATTACAATATGAAACCATTCCCCCCACCCATGCTGGTTTATTGCCTCAACTAAAGCAGCATTTAAGACTAGGAAACTCTGAAAATATGCGATTCTGAAATTAGATAAAAGTTGTGTGCATGAATGCGGACAGTAATTGAAGAAAATGTTTTTTATATTTTTTATCTAAACAAAGAAAATTTACTTTGTTTAGATACTGTTTGTTCTAGATAACTATTCAGAGTCTTCACTTTTAAAAACCTACGTCAAATTCATGCTAAAAGTATGGATATTACAGACTTTGACAAGAAGTTAAAATGATTCAATATTTTTGTTTGTATAAATCTGAGCTTTGTATGTTATATATGTTTCTTTATAACCGTGCACCGGGCTACTCTTCCCTTTAATTGCACATTGGAGTTATGCTCACTGGCCCTCATTTGTTTAACATCTGTGATGAGCGGGGATAGAATGGGTGTGGAATGTAGATCTCTCTGATATTGGACCTTGTTCAGAACATCCTATAGCAATGCTCTAAGGAGTCTAATCAGCGTATAAGTCAGACATCATCATGGACCGGGAAACCTTGTCAAGCCCTGAAAACTTGTTCCTTCTTGATTCTTCAATTTCCAAGGTCTTCCTGCAGAACCAATGCATCCATCATGCAGCATTCACACAAGCATCACAACAGTATTTACATTTTTTCACATCAATCAGTATGATTGCCTCTCGCCTTCTCACAGGAATGGGAGGAAACATTTGAATATTTAGCTGATTTAGATTTAAGTTTTTCTTTATCAAAGTGAGATGTCCTCATGTATATTTATAAATCAGCAGTGCAAGCACACATAACCCTATAGGTTTAAATGCTTATGATGGATTAATCTATGATTAATATAGAGGGAAATTAAATGTCTGATTGGAACTATGATACATTGTAGCTTCAGTCCGCTGCCTTGCCCTCTGCACCACCAGTTTCTTCTGCTTACAGATTGAGCATACACATGGGTCAGAGTTACCTTGAGGAAAACATATTTTGTCAGGTTTTCTAAAAATATATCACAAACTTTGCATGCAAGCTGATGTATGCACATTTCAGGGGCAAACAAATCCTTCATGATTTAGACCCCAGAGCCTTCAGAGGTCAATGTCATGCATTACATTTTAACTGCACACATTTTTTCTTATAAATGTGTTTTTAGACTTTAGAAAAGCAGAGCTTTCTACATGCAGTAGTACAATCCTCTTAGCCCTAGTGTCAGTCTTTTGGTTTCTGCCAGAATCATTAGTATGTAGCAGATCAAGTTCAGGAAACTTTGCACATGGCATGGATGTTCAGGCTCTCACTTTCACTGAACTTCCACCATTTTAATGGCTGAATGCACATTAAAAAAATGTGTGTAGTCCCAGCATTAGAAGTGTCTTCTAACGCCTGTCCACGTGCTGCCTCTATGCAGGAGGTAGTGACTATCGTGGTATTTGGGGTGGAGTACATGGTGAGGATCTGGGCTGCCGGTTGCTGCTGCCGCTACAGAGGATGGAGAGGAAGACTTAAATTTGCCAGAAAGCCATTCTGTGTCATCGGTAAGTTTCAGGACCTCCATCTCTTGCTATCAGTCTGAAACATGTTTATTTTAAGGAACTGAAAGGTCCAATGTTTTTATCATTCAACCAAAAAAGATATGAAATCACATAAATGAATGAAATCAAGCTATTTAATGATTTAATTCCACATAGAACCAGTTTTAGAGAGAGGTGCTGGTCTTAAAGTTCTGGAGGTTTTTGTTTTAGAATAGAATAGAATAGAATAGAATAAAATAGAAAATCCCTTTATTGTCCCACAATGGGGAAATTCTGTTGTTTACATCAGCAAAAAGATTATAGAAAACATTTTCACACAAATGTGGACCTATTTTTAGACATAAATTATTTAGATTTACTTATATCTTTTTACCCCTTTCATAGAATAGAATAGATAATCTCTTTATTGTACCACAAGGGGGACATTTACAGCAGTATGGAAGTAAATATGTGCCATCAGAATTTGAATAAAAAATACCTCTGAAATTTGAATGTTGTATATTAGTGCTTACTTTTTCAGTATTAAAATAAATTCAGAATATATTTTTAACCTAAAAAAAATTCAGTGTCATTATTTGTACATTAAAAAAAAAATTCAGTGTAATTTATTTTACATGGTTACAATTTTCAGTTATTAAAAAAATTCACATTCCTGTTTCAAAGTGATCAAATTTTCAATATACATATTTTTCACAGTTTAAAATTTCAGTGTTAAAAAATTCAGCATATAAAAAATTCAACTTTTCAAAATTCAAATGCAATATTTTCGTTGTCCTCCAATTCAACTTGCTCAAATTCACTGTCTCAAATTCAGCGTCTAAAAATTCGCTGTAAAAATGGCCAAGGTTACTTCAGGTCACAGACATTAGCAATGGATGTCCGATTCCAACATCCACCTAATCACGTGACACAACCATCATATTGAAGAAGTACAAAGTTACACCCAGGCTGGCGACCATGGAGGCGAACTCAAACCCAACGGTGAGTTTAATGCTTTCATATTTCTGTAGTATATTTTATTTTGCGCATGAAGTTTGATACATTATCTTAAAGACTGATTTAAAACACTGGTTTGGGCCGTTGTTAATCTTACACCGTGTAGTGCCGGCATATTACCTCCGAGCATCCCCCCCCCCCCCCCCCCCCCGACCCAATTTCCCCCGTTTTATTTCAAAAAGAAATACCACTTTTCCAGGCAGTCTTAGTAAAGTCGTAATTTTTCAGGAGATGCTACCGCTAATGTAGTAAGCTAATATGGCTGCCTTGTGTGCTTCAAAGAGGGGCTGTGAACAGTTCCGACCCCACTCTGATCAGCTACTGTATTGTTAGCTCGGAGGTAGCGAGAAGTAATATGCCGGCACTACACGGTGTAAGATTAACAACGGCCCAAACCAGTGTTTTAAATCAGGCTTTAATATAATGTATCAAACTTCATGCGCAAAATAACATATACTACAGAAATATGAAAGCATTAAACTCACCGTTGGGTTTGAGTTCGCCTCCATGGTCGCCAGCCTGGGTGTAACTTTGTACTTCTTCAATATGACGGTTGTGTCATGTGATTAGGTGGATGTTGGAATCAGACATCCATTGCTAATGTCTGTGACCTGAAGTAACCTTGGCCATTTTTACAGCGAATTTTTAGACGCTGAATTTGAGACAGTGAATTTGAGCAAGTTGAATTGGAGGACAACGAAAATATTGCATTTGAATTTTGAAAAGTTGAATTTTTTATATGCTGAATTTTTTAACACTGAAAATTTAAACTGTGAAAAATATGTATATTGAAAATTTTATCACTTTGAAATAGGAATGTGAATTTTTTAATAACTGAAAATTGCAACCATGTAAAAAAAAATTACACTGAATTTTTTTTTAATGTACAAATAATGACATTGAATTTTTTTTAGGTTAAAAATATATTCTGAATTTATTTTAATACTGAAAAAGTAAGCACTAATATACAACATTCAAATTTCAGAAGTAATTTTTATTCAAATTCTGATGGCACATATTTACTTCCATACAGCAGCAAAAGGAAGAGTTAAAAGATGAAAAATAAAATTCTGCACTGTAAATTGTTTTAATCATATAAATACTATGCACCTGGAGAATAAATAACCAATATACAGCTATGGACATTTTTACAGTAATGGATATTTGAAAATAGCAGCAACATCAGAGATGTACAAAATGCAAGCAGCATGTTATTTAACTGACTAAGGTAGAAACTGTACAAAATCAGCACGAATATAACAAGTTATTGAGGTTGTTTGGAATAGTGGTGGTAACAGTGACAGATGCTCTGTAATAGACGCTCTGACACGTTTTTCCTTCAGTTCGTCTCAAATCTCTCTTTTACCTTCTCCTCTGCAGACATCATGGTGCTCATAGCCTCCATCTCTGTCCTGGCTGCTGGGACTCAAGGAAACGTTTTTGCCACATCTGCCATCAGGTCCCTCCGGTTCTTACAGATTCTCCGGATGATCCGCATGGATCGTCGTGGAGGAACCTGGAAACTTCTAGGATCGGTAGTCTACGCCCACAGCAAGGTGACTGGTGTTACAATAAGAAGCAGAAAAATGAAATGGTTCTGGTAATAAAAACTTAATTGATTATAATTTATTAAGCTCTGGTCTAATGCATGACGTAGTTTCTGCTACCACAACAAAACGAGAAGGGTGAGACATCACAAGGTCTTCAAAGGAATAAGATATGTTTATGTTCATCCATGGATGGATGTGGGGACGGATGGATGAATTGATCTATGGTGGTTTGAATTAAGGTTGATCAGATGACTGGTTTCCTCTCTGTCTGCAGGAACTCATCACTGCCTGGTACATTGGCTTCCTGTGTCTCATCCTGGCCAGTTTCCTGGTTTATTTGGCTGAAAAAGAAGACAACGAGCAGTTTGAGACTTATGCTGATGCCCTCTGGTGGGGACTGGTGAGACAACTTCACAGACAGTTAAAGACAGCCCTTTGGTGTAATGTTCACCTGTCTCACAAAGAGAAATGATTTCTTTGAGTTCAAACAGCTGACCTCTGGGTCATGTCCCTGGTTCACGGTTAGGTTCTGCTTTCTTTGGTCCAGAATGTGGCTGTGACCCTAAAGCCAGTCAATCTGATGGTAAACATCAGTTTAAGGACATTCAATTAATGTTAGAGAGGATCTAGCTATAATGAAGATAAGAACTCTTTAACCGTATAGTATGTTTAATTTTGATGAATGTAAGCAATGTATCTACAATGCTACTATGGTGAAAGCACACTTAAAATACTTTACATCACAGAAAACGAGTTCCTCCTTGGTTTTTATAGGGTATTATTTTATCCAGCTGCAGTGCAGATAATTTAGGTTTCCTCTGGATCTTAAAGCTGTATTATCTGAGCTCCTCAGCCTGTTGTCTCCCTGCTGCAGGAGAATTTGATTCGTCTCCTAATGTCTTTGTCAGATAACCCTGACGACCATCGGATACGGAGACAAGTTTCCTGTCACCTGGAACGGACGTCTGCTGGCTGCGACGTTCACACTGATCGGAGTTTCCTTCTTTGCTTTGCCAGCTGTGAGCCACGTTATTGACTGCCTGTTTTTGCCTAGACTTACCTGAGACACCTGCTCATTCATGTCACCCGATTCCTTTCCAGGGAATTCTGGGCTCTGGATTTGCTTTGAAGGTTCAGGAGCAGCACAGGCAGAAACACTTTGAGAAAAGACGGAACCCTGCAGCTGGACTCATACAGGTAGATACTGACAGCTGTTTTGTGATTGGTTCAGATGAGAGAAGGTGAGACCATTAGATCCAACAGAACCTTATCCCTGCCCTGATCTGGTTGAATTAGAATCACAAATTGATATTTTCGTGTTACTGGGAAAAGGAGATTCTACTTGTTCAAATGACACGAAAACCAAAGTTATTCTCGAACTTTTTTTCCAGACTAAAAAAGAATAGTAACAACAGTTTGACATGTTCATAAACCCCTTCAAACAGTGTCAAAATCATTTATTGAGAATCATACTTTTCAAAAGAAATACAAGTTTTGAGGACAACAACTGACAAATTTAGGTTTTATTGTTTTCAGAAGTCTATTTAAATTTACTAAAAAACTTTAACAGTAATGAAACCATCAATCCATTAAGCTAACAAAATAAACACTACAAAATAAACTGAAAATAATTCTTTTGATGGGCTTTAATCAAAATATCTGGGAGGGGTGGCTGTTTGAATAAGGAGTTGGAGCACTGGAAAGGTTTGATTGTGTAGTTTATAAATCATGAAGTTCTTCTGCCTGTGTAGGGTACCTGCAAAGGGATTGTCTCGAGGTAGTTAGTGAGTTTTCATAGGCTTCCTCATGTAGGGTTGCATGAGAAGCAGTTTTTTGTTTCGTTTTTTAGTGTCTCTTTGCTTTGATCTCTAATCAATGGGCTTCTGGCCCGCTTATGCGAAAGTCTGCTCCCACTTCAAAGGTCTTCTCTTTGTTAATATGGTGTCTGTGCTTTGGAAGGCTGCTGCCGAGGTTTGCCCTGTTAAAGTCCAATAGAACAATGAGCAGGAAGTCTGGATTTATTTATACATTTTTTATTTTTATCCATCTTAGATACCTGGTTTGCCAGGTGTGCCCTTACTGACACTCGCCTGAGGTGGAATATAAACAGCAGCCGGAACAAATGTCGAAAAACTCCCACGGAGAATAAGATTGTTTACAGTTAATGAATAATGTCTCTAAAGTAAGGGCTGCATCATTTCCTTAACGCTATGACATCTATACACCTACCTTTGGTGATGGAAAGACAGAATCTGCCACATTGTTTTTAATTTTAACCCCCTATTTTAATTAAATAGGGGGTTAATTTAAATGTCCGCAATATGCATGGTGATCTGTGTTAGAGAAGCAGTTCATCTATTTTGAATTTTTTTGGGCTGGAGAGCAGTAATTCACCTGGTGGATAGAATTTTTAGCGCAGTGAGGAAATCCTGCCATCTCAGCCTAACCGTTGCACCTGCATGCTTATCTGTACAGCGTCAGCATCTTCCTTAGATTCCATAGAGTGTTAGCAGTCCAAAGTCCAGTATTTAAAAGTGTATTGTATATGAAGGGCAAAAGAGAAGATGTTAAACAAACAGTTTAAAATCAGATATTATACATATATATGCTGATGAAGATTCTCTGTCATCCAGGTTACATACCTGTACCCTTTGCTTTACCTGGTAATGCTGTGTCTCTGTCTGCTCTGGAACAAAGGCAGCTGCAATGCAGAGTCTGGGTTGAGTTCAGTAAACCAAGTCTCAGTGAAGCATAAAACAGATGATAAATGAACATCTCAGATTTTTCCCACCAGAAGCCGAAGGTTATCCGGACACACATTGGAAAGAAATATTGCCAGAAGCGTTGTCTGAAATCCCCTCTGGCAAGGATGCAGGATCAGCAGAGCTTGTTTTCCTCCCCCCTTCAGCAACACACATAAGCAGCAGTAAATGCGTCCTTTACCAAAATGTCAAATAACTCCCCTGATGATGTGATAAAAGTGGAAATAATCCAATGATCCAATTCTAACCGGTCATATTGCCCTAAAACTGATAATCTCTTTCCTGCTGAAAATCAAGTCATCTAACATTTTAAATACTCTGCATCAAATCCAGCCCCCACATTTTTCCAAAACCTATTTCCACATAAACACAATGACTCAGAGAGGCCATTAACTGCTCTGAGATCAGAGGTTTCCTTTATGTTTACCTCCCTTTTCCATTGCCTCCCCTCTGAACTACGACATTTTTTAATTGATCTGTGGGTCAAAGCTTTGAAAGATTGATCTAGATTCTGGCTTCTTTCCGAGGTTGAAGAACAAATTGTTTATGAAATCTTTGGATACTTATTGAATGTCTGTGCCTGAAGGCTGCCTGGAGAGTCTATGCCACAAATCTGACCCGGACTGACCTGACTTCCACCTGGGACTATTATGAGAGGACAGTGTCTGTCCCTATGTACAGGTGAGAGTAATATTTCTGCAGCCCTTAACTCTTATCCTGCAGTATCTTCATCCTGTCTGTGTTTGTCTGCAGGCTGATTCCTCCTCTTAACCAGCTGGACTTGCTGAGGAACCTCAAGAATAAATCTGGACTTTCATTTAGGTTCGTAAAATTTCACACAAATCAAAGCATTCTGTATCAAGCAATCATTCGCCTTTGACCACCAACAATAGGCAAGGTTTGTGAGGTGTCTTACCCAGGGACACTATGGCTGCAGCAGGGGCCCAAGCTAGCAATCCATGTAATATATGATCATACCACCAATTAATCAACTGAACTTTAGCTGCAGTGTAACACCAACGCCTTGATATTCAAAGAAATCCAAATAATGGGCTCCTAATTGGGTGGGCAAAAAAATTGCAATAAGTTGGTGTGTTTCAAGTGTTTTGAAGGATTTCATAGAAGGATAAGACACACATACCGGACATACCCATACAAATCAGCAAATAGATAGAGCTAAAAAAGAATAGTAATACTTATTTAAAAAGAAATGACAAAAAAAAAACACATTTATCAACAGAAATATTTGTTTTCTAGTTTGTGGTAAAATCTATAGCTGCATATCCTCCGACCATATATTTGGTCATTGGGCTATGACCAAATACTCAGGAAGGCACAAAGTAGATTTGCACCTGGTGTGCTGCTCAATTCACATGAGCTAATTTTTTTTTTACCTTTACATCAGCTTTGTGCATGTTAACAAGTTTGCATGTGTTTTTATACATACCAGCAGTGGTACAGTCTTGCAAGAACAGTGAGAAGTCTCTCCACTTTTTACATGATGGAGTATTCAGACGAATTAAGATAATATGTAACTTTGTGTCTGTCTGCAGGAAGGACGTCCAGCCTGAGCCATCACCAAGGTCAGTCTGCAGCTCTGCTTCTTAAAAGAGTTCAGATTCACTCAGATGCTTTTAGATTTCTGCTGCAGGACAGAAACTGTATCTTCAGGCCACTGAACATCTGATCTCTCTGGGATTCATTTCAATTTGATTGTAAACTAATAGTTTACATTCAGACTAAGATGGCTCTTCCAGATTTGCTCAAATATCACAGTCAGAAGTGCTGACAGAACCAAATGATATGGATGAAAACATGGTAACGTAACATTATTAAATGAAGAGTAACAGTAGGACTAACTGTGACTAAAAATAAGTACCAGAACATTGCTTGTTCATTATCTCAGATGAACTTTCTGTTTTGATGCAATTCTGTCTTTTCTGGCACTTACAACCACTGACCAAACCAACAGAACCACACCCTTCTTTGTCAAGGGTAGCTCTAAATATGTCCCTAACATCAGGTGATTTGTTGTACTTAATAAGTCTTCAGGTCTGGTTGGTACATATTCTTGATTGCGAATAAAACAAACTTCATTTTGTTTTTCCAGTCAGAAGGTGAGTTTGAAAGAGAGAGTCTTCTCTTCCCCAAGAAGCTCAGGGACCAAAGGGAAAAGTTCTCCTCAGCACGGTGGGTATTAGTTCATCATGTTTATGAAGGTGAATGTTTGGCCAAAAGTAGAACCGGTTTGAAAACAAACCATTAATAATCTGTTAAACCTAATCTCAGACTAACTGAACAGTCGGTCTGTTTCCATTACAAATGTGCTCAAATTTATGTCGATATTCTGCTCATTTTAAAAATGCTAATTTTCGTAATTCCAGTATTTCCATTGAATAAAATATACAATAAAAATTGCACCTGGATGCGTTTGTTCTTGCAATAACACTTGAAAACAACAATGTAGTGACTATAGTATTATATCCATAGTTCAGCCGTGGCTCTAGTGCTCATCGTGCTCATTATAAAGAAATAAAAATACTAAATACTAAAAATTACTCAGTTTCCTCATAAATCCGAATAAGCCGCTCCAGGTCCAGTTGTAGATCACGTTACTCTTGTAATAATTTTGATGCAACTGAAAAACCGGCCCATCAAAGCATAGGAACTTTTCATCGAAAAGCATGGATTTTCTTGTTTTCATTATTAGAGTTTGCGTAATTATATGGTTAATCGAAATGCAGCTAATGACAACATGAGTGTTGGCCTAGTGGATAGAGCTATGCACTGAAAAGGTTGGAAGTACCTGGTTCAATCTGGATTCCTGAGCAAGACCCTTAACCCCACACTGCTCCCCTGGCACCACACAATGGCAGCCCCCTGCTCAACAATGGGATGGGTTAAATTCCCCATTGTGGGACGATAAAGGGATTTACATTTTTATTTTTTTTTATTTTTTACATTTTCCAAAAGCAGATCTGTGTGTTGCTATGGGAACCTGCTGAAACAATTACCAGCTCACCCCATTCCACAAGCTCTTTTGTGTTTCTGCTTTTTGACTTAGAGGGAGTAGAGATCCACTTCTGTTAGCCTCTTCCAGAAGCTTCTTCCACTCAATTTTAGGATTTTAGGGATCATAAGACAAAGCTGTACCTTATGTTTCAGCATTTTTACTGCCTGCTTGGATGAAACACCAGAGAGTTTGATCCACCTTGCTTTTAATGTCTCCAGTGGTCCCTCCAGGTGGTGTAGGTCCTGGAGTGGGTGTTGGTCCTGGTACTCCCAGCGGGGTTCAGGCATTGCGTCGGTCTCCAAGCATAGAGCCCAGTATGGATGAGAGTCCAAGCAAGGTTCCAAAGAGTTGGAGCTTCGGAGAACGCAGCCGAACAAGGCAGGCCTTCAGGATCCGTGGAGCAGCATCTCGCCAGAACTCTGAAGGTGAGACAGGCTGGAGTTGGGTTAAGCTCTTCTTCAACATTCTGATCCTAGACTACACACAAACTCTGATCTACCAAGATCACAAACAGGATATTTAAAAGACTGTGGTGCAAAAGCATTTATTAGAGATGTATTCATTATGTTTAGAGATCTATCTGACATAAAAGTAAACATTTTATTAAGAAGTTTAATTAGAAATTGATCTTGCAAACTATTTGATAATTTTAAAGACATCACAACTTATATAACCTCAGTCTCGTCTGTTTTTGTAAAAGTGGGAAAATTGTCATGATTTTACAAAGTTCAGTCCTGCGCTACTTGAACGGGTCATAGTGGAGATGAATCCCTTTCTCAGTGCGAAGCTCAAACGATCTATTGGAGAAAGTGGATCCAAACCTCCTGTTTGAACCCCAGCTCAGTTTGAAGCTCAGTTGATCCTTCCAGGGAGAGAAGGTCCGAGAAATCCAGTTTGCAGGATGACTTCCTGCCGAGAGGCAAAGACAAAAACAAAGTTAAACTCAGGTTGACAAAAACTCAGTCTGACTCAGCAAAACTCAGCTTGGCTAGAGTACCCTAAACTGGCAAACACTCTGGCGTAGGTAGTGGCAGGCAGCAACTTAAGAACACTCCGTTTAACAAGGAAACCATCAGCAGGTGTGTGAGGAGGCGAACCAGAACCAGGCGCCTCCTGGTGGATGAAGGGAGACAAACATAGAAATACAAACACAAAGACAGGGGTCCTGACAAAAATGTGTTGATGGTGATTTTGGGAGCAGACTAGCAGTCAGAAGCCTCTAGTTTTTTATGACTAATTCATGCGACCAAGGTTAGGACTAGCTGATTTTAAGAATAAAATCATACATTATTGATGGTGAATACTGTACTTAAAGCTGACAATTAAAACAAAAATTAGTAATAAATTAGTAGACTTTACAAAGAGTCACCTCTCATGTTGCCACTGAGGGGAAAAAGTGAAGACAAAGTTTTTAAATGTCCTTACAGTTATTAGATTTTGTGATCTAGCCCTTCAGTTCTTGTTGGGTTTAATCTAAAAAAAAACAGTTAATACCATTAATCCAAACATATCTCATGAAGAGTGGACTAAGACTCTGATGAGATACGATGATGATAACAAAGAGATCAATCACCTTAAAAGCATTGCAGGGGTGAAAACTGAGGCATAAAAGTAAAGCTGTGGAAGAAGGACCTGAGTGGGTGGGCCTAGATCAGGCCAGTACCAGGTCCATGCAGAGCTGCAGCTTGTGTTTCCTCCCAGGTTTCTACTTTGTCCCTTATGAATCAGGATGGATCACTGAAATGTGTGCTGGCTTCATTTTGTCATCCAATGAAGTCCCTTTCTATCTAGTTCCAAACCTAAACCATCTCAAGCAAAAACAAGAAGAATTCAGAGCCCATCCTTCTGTTCTCTGCTGCATCCTGCAGAGCCTAGCATGGGTGGGCCGCATCTGAACAGGTCACAGCAAAAACAAACCTGGTTACAACCTATTACCTGAACATACCTCTGGAATCTGATAAGAACATTTTGCAGGATTACAGGGAGAACATGGAGGTTCCACAAAAACAACAGTGAATCTTTAAAGGAACATTTAAATTGTCAATGGAGCAGCAATAAGAAATTATTCAACAAATAGGAGTCTAGAAAACAGAGGTGGAACTGAAGCGAGTGGAGAAAGGATGAAGAATGGAGGAGAAGGTTTGGAGAGGAAACAGATCAACAGTCTTCATCAGAGATAAATGGTTAGAACTGGTCCAACAGCTTACCCCATGGTCTCCATCCATGTTGGTGGCTTTCAACATCAAAACATGCAACTCTATTAACTGCAGTTGTGAAAGCCAGAGTGGAGGCATGCTGCTGCAAGCAGGGGCAGAGTTCAGCCAGAAGCACTAAGTTGTAACGCAAAAAGTCTCCAATGTGAAGATAGTATTGCTGCACCGATACCCGATACCTGGCTGTGCAGTATTTGCTGATACCGATTCCATCTGTTTGAAATTGATGTGTGTGTATCTATGAAGAACTGCATATAACTTGGATGTAAAATAATTGCCATCATGGCTTTGTCAAGCTGCTGCCTACCTTTGTGAAGCAGGAAAAAGACTAAAACAAAGTGAATCCAGTAGAACTTTTTATTGCCTACCTGGAATTGGTGACAATAGTTGAATAAACGTATGGCTCTCAAAATGGTATCGGTACACTATTTGTTGGTACTCGCGATACCACAATTTTAATGCAGTATCGGGGCCCTGCCCGATACTGGTATCGGTGCAACACTAGAAGATAGCAATAGATAAAGTTATGTGGTACAAGCCGCCATATTGGAGATTGTTGCTTTTAAACTTAACCCTTAATTACATTTCCCATCATTCATATAGCTGGTGGCTTAGCCTAATGAAAACAGTGACAGGATATGGGAACATTTTAAAGTTGTCTGTATGCAGAGTTTCCTGTTTTCTGTTTGTGTTATAAGCAAAGGTTCTATTTTAAAGGTTAAGTCCTGTTCTGAAGGTCTGGTATTGTTATATAAGTCAGGTTGCAGACTGAGGTTACAGTTTGGCTCATTCTTGAAATATCGTATTTGAAGAAAATCCTCAACTTCTCAGATTCTTCATTCGCACACCAACTTCTAGGGTTCCATTGTTCTGAACCGGCCAGTCCAGGTGGTGTATACCAGGCTTGACGTGCTTTCTTTCTGTCTTTGTGAGGTCTTCCTCAGCTGGATGGGTGGTGAGAGCTAAACAGTACGTTCTGCTTTCTGTGGAGGTTTCCTCTAGACCTCCGTGTCTGTCAGTGTGATACCAAATGGCCCAAAGAAAGTTGGCTGTTGGTTCTGATGATCCAGATGTTGTCCTGGTGTGTTTAGTGAAGGCTTCACTTCTTCAGCCCTAATTCTGACCCAGCAGCTTGTGTGAACAAGTGGTTCTGTGATGTTTCCTAGATGGAGTTTCTGCTCCAGGTAAGATACTGACAACTTCCAAGCACTGCTCCGAGGCCAGACCCAACCCATTTGACCCGTCTCTGATTGATGACTGATGTCCTGTTTTCCATTGGTTGGTTGGCTGATCCACAGGGCTGCTGCTAATCTTCCGCTGATGAAGCTGTTTCCTCTCTCCTCTTCCTCCTGTAGTGCTGATAGAGATGCAGGATGAAGAGTTCAGACACAAGAGTTCACCAGGTCAGCGCACACACTCACAGGAAGGAAGACTCAGCTGTTTTAGGCCTCTGGACTTCCTGTCACATGATGAAGTGTTTCAGGAAGTCGTAGTTGTTTCCGGTGAGAAAGCTGGACTAAACGACCTCTGCTGTTGTTTCAGATGCCAGCCTGCCAGGTGAAGACATGGCAGATGACAACAAGAGCTGCCACTGTGAGTTTGTCCCTCAGGACCTTACGCCGGGGTTAAAGGTCACCATCAGAGCCATCTGGTATGAGTCCGTCCAACAGAGACTCCCCTGCTGCACCTGCAAACCATTCATCGCTTTCTTCACTCTTTATTTGCTATTTTATGCACTGGATCATGATTTTATTCACATTTATTTTTTTATTTACTTATGTTTTATTTATGCTCACGCCAGGGTCAAAGGTCATCATCAGCTGTTGGGTAAGAGCAGTCAGACTCACGTCACTCAGCGTCATTCTTCCTTTTGTTTTGTCCTGTTTACCTGCAGCTTGTTCTGTTGTATTCTTATTATTGCATAGGCCGTGATTCGGTGTGTTTTCCTCTGAGGATTCAGATCCCAATCCTTCTGGAACGAGACTCTGGATGAGCAGTCAAAACTGGGACCTCTGTTTTCTGCCTTTGTTTTGTTTCTGTGGTCCTGTCCAGGTTCTAAGGACTTGATCTTCAAAAAGATGCCAAATAAGTGGAACTAAATTCCACATGACATTACATCGATTATTTAAGTTAGGGGTCTTGAACAAATAATTGTTCAAACAAATAAATGATTAATGGAAGGGCTTCTGCTTAACATGGACATGCCAAAGATGTAATTTAGCTTTTTGATTCACGCATGTTGGAGGAGGGATGCATGCAAAAGCTGCAGGACAGTGGCACTCAAGGACCGATATTGCCCACCCATGATTAAAGTAATACCAATGTGTAGTGACTATTTGTACGAAACTAAAATGAAAAAAACTTAAGATGTGATCAAAGCAAAAGGTGAATTCAACTCAAATAGCCACCTGATGCACCATGGATTCTGCCTTACGCAGTCCAAAAAGGGTCAAAATCCAGTTCTTTGCTTGCTTTATTTCTCCTTTCAGACAAACAGGTTACAGGCTTCACAGGGTTCTTATATTGCTCTCACTCTAATTCATGCACCTGTTCTTTAATTCACTGACTGAGACTGTGACTGAAAACTGAGAACTGAGAAATGAGAACTTTTTCTACTGATTAAAGCCCCACCCCCCCCCCCCCCCCCCCCCACACACACACACACACACACACAAAGAAGATTCTATAGTCAGATCTACAGCAGGTTATGCTGTAAACAGAGAAATGTATCTCCACCAACTCGCAACAGGAGCTTGAACTGTTATACTGCAAAACAAGGTAGGCCCTTAATAATCTAATAAAACATAAACAGTTTTTATTGTGAAGCCTTTTTTATAGATATGGGGGCAAAAAAAACAACAACCCTCTAGTCACAAGTAAAAAATGGAGCCCTCTCCCCAGCAAAAAACAGCAAAAGTTGCATTTGTGCCACCTGCCACATTTTGCTTTATTAATATAATTCTACTATTATTTTCTGACAGTCCAAACTTTTTTGCATGTGCACAGAATCTCTCTCTGTTGTTTGACGTTACAACAAGCCCTACTTTGTGTCCACGGTGACCACAGGAGTTTTTGCATGTCAGTTTGCACTTGAAGTGCAAACGTTGAATCCCAGTCGTTGAAACAATTTCAGATTTCATAAAAAAAATTGTTTTGCACTTGGTAAACGTTTAGATTTGCATATATTTGCCCATTTTTTGCGTGATTTGGTCATTAGAATATAATCTGTTTATTGATAAATGCACACATGTAACAAAAGGTTTGCACTTGCTGTCTGCTGACCCGCAATCCTAAATCACTTTGCACCTTTTTTGAAGATCTGCTCTCCTTGTACTAACATGTTTGCACATGTTTTAAGAAATGCAAACCTCAGATGCTTTCTGAAGTCCAGCTGCTCTAATTTCCTCGGTTTTGTCCTAAAGAACAGAACCACAGCCGTGGGTCAGGCAAAAGATTCTGACTAGTTCCTCCTATTAAACTAAATCCTGTATTATGGAGGCGGACCCGTGGGATCGGTTCAGACTTTTGGAGACCCATCCTATTCCTCCCCTCAGATCGTAGTATCCTAGATGTGGTCCTCTGAAACTTCCCCAGACCAATAGCAGAACCTGCTGCTCTCTGTGTTCAGGTGTTGTGACTGTTGCTTCTTTGCTTTCTGTCTCAGCATCATGCGCTTCATGGTATCTAAGAGGAAGTTTAAGGAGAGCCTCCGACCTTATGACGTCATGGACGTGATTGAGCAGTACTCGGCTGGTCACCTGGACATGCTTGCCCGAATTAAGAACCTTCAGGCCAGGTAAGGAGCTGGATCTTGATGCTTCGCTTCTTCTCCTGTAAAACCATGACCTCTGAACAGGTGTCTGTGTGGCTCCTGGCAGGGTGGATCAGATCGTTGGAAGAGGAACACCAATTGCAGATAAAGACCGTCCTAAAGGTGGTAGTGAAGAATTACCTGAAGACCCGAGCATGATGGGACGCCTGGGGAAGGTTGAGAAACAGGTAAACATTTCAGACTTTACCCCAACCGTAAGAGCACTGAAGACCATGACACTTCTTCTTTCCAAAATCTGATCTAGATCCTGTCTGTTTTATCTCCAGGTTCTGTCCATGGAGAGAAAATTGGACTTTCTGGTAAACATCTACATCCAGCGAATGGGAATCCCTCAAGCAGAAACAGATGCCTACTTTGGATCCAAGGAACCAGACCCAGCTCCACCATACCATAGTCCAGTAGACCTGCAGGAGAAGAATCAGTCCTTCTCCAAAATACTGCAGTGAGTGTTAGAATGAACAAAAAACAGAACAGGACTGCAGTCCCGCTAGAAAAACAAACTAAAAGGGAACCAGGAGTAAACCTCACTCACTTTGGGGCTGACACACTAGAGCTCTGACCGTACCATACCAACTTTATTTATAAAGCACTTTAAACAACCATAGAACCAAATTACTGTACAGTAACAGACAGTTGAGATGAAAATTACAGCAATGAAAAAACAACAACACATAAAACCAATTTAAAAAAATCTTAAATTAAACCAAAAATGAACATCTCAGATTATGTCACATGCCAAGATGGGTGTCTGAAACCAGGGAAGCCCCCCAACTGATCCCCAAATGCAACAAAGAATGCAAGATCCCCTTTAGGGCTTCAGATAAGTTTTTTGGGATGGTCAGCAGCAGCTTGTCTGCTGACCTGAGAGAACGGCAGGCGGTAAGGGTGCAGCCGTTTAGCGAGATAGAGCGGGCCAAGGCCACATAATGCTTTAAAAACAAATAAAATGATTTTAAAATGAATCCCCAAATTCTGGTGAAGATTCTCAGTCATCCAGGTCATAGCCATTCCTAAGACGTTAAAAAAGTTAGAAAACAAAACACTGGACTTTGTTTTCCAAGTTTGAAGCATTTTTTTAAATTATTATTATACCCTTATTTCTGCAGGCAAGTCATTAGGAACAAGTTCTTATATAAATGGCGGCCTGACAAGTAGGGTAACCACTTAGGAAAAGGGAAGTAGGGCTAAAATAAATAAAATAAATTAATTATACATATATAAAATGCAAACACAAGAGCTAAAATAAATACAATACATTTGTAATACATACATAAAATACGATGGGCTTTGCATGCCATCCAGTCTTTTCAATTCAAAATATCTGGATTAGCTTTGAGTTTCAAGCTTTATAGAGTAGCCCAGCAAAGCCTTGTTATGGCTAAGAAAACATGCAAATTGAACCTGAAGGACAGGTATACCCCATAGTAACGGGGAGTGTTTGAGGTCTTACAAGCTACTTTCCAAAAGAAGATTTGCAATTTTTCCACTATGTCAGACTCACCATAGGTAAATGAAAATGGGGACCAGCACGTAGGACGGCCTTATGTAAACATATCACCAGAATGATTGACAATTAGGAGCACCACTTATTTTTATTATCCACCCGGAAAAAGAACATCCTGCTCTATACCTTTAAAGGCTGAATGACTGCTTGTGTAAATGTCTCTCTCTTAATCCTGGACTAAAAAACCCAAACATTTCCTTCTGAACAGTCAGGTGAGGTCAAATCCAGACATAATCCCAGGACCAAAACCTGTTAGAGATCTGCTTCCTCCCCCCAATAATGAAGTTCATTTCAACACAACACTGGAACTGTCTGATTGTGCGGGACAAAAGAGCCCAGAACCTGATGTTTACTGTTTACAAGCTGCTCTGTTTACATCTTTGCAGGGTGTTGCCAGGCGACCACATGGAGAGGACTCGGTTTGTCACAAAGATGGTCCGCTCTAGCAGCTCCACGGGTCACAGGAACTATGCCGCCCCCACCTGCCCGCCCTCCACCTCTTGGCAGCCAATCAGCTCCCAGCTTCACCAGCAGGCCCCTCCTCCACAGCACAGCCATGGCAACACTCCGAGCCCAGTGGGGGATGCATCACTGGTCCGCCTGCCCCCTCCTCCAGCTGGAGATAGACATGGTGGGAACCGGTCCAACCGACACAGCACCGGCGATCGGGGAGGCTCTGAGAGGAACGGGGAGGGCACTAATGGGACAGGAGGAGGAGAGGCGAAGCCTGACAGCGACACCTCCATCTCCATCCCATCGGTGGACCATGAGGAGCTGGAGCGTTCCTTCAGTGGCTTTTCCATCTCTCAGTCCAGAGAGAACCTGGACTTTCTCAACAATGGCTTCTATCCCTCTGCAAGCCCAGGGGAGCAGCAGGCAGGGGGGGGCTCTGCCCGCTGTGCCACAGTCCGACCCTACATTGCAGAGGGGGAGTCAGACTCTGACTCAGAGCTTTGCGCTCCCTCCCCCCACTCAGACCGGGCCTGGACTGGCACCAAGTAGGACTGAAGTAGTCCAGATCTGAACCAGCAGAACCAGTTTTTAAAATGCAATGAAGTATAAACCGACACTTTAAACACCAGCTGGGGGCTTGGAGTGAAGCATTGTGGGAACTACTACAGTTTGATGATGACACCGCTTGTACAGCGAAGGTGGCCGATCACTGATAAACTGCTCAGGAATGAAATTCACAGTTTCCCCTAACATCTGCATGACTGACACGTTTGAAAGAGGTTACCATGCCAACCACGTCATTTGTATCCCGTCCAGAGCACAGAGTCCAAACACTGATCCCATCCAGAACCACGGCAAACGTCCCAGCCTGGGTCGCTCTGCCTTTTTACAGTCTCCAAGTAGAACCATTTTCTGATTCCAGAGAGATAAAAGAACCTGTTTTAAAATCAGGACGTAGAACATCAGCGTTCAGATGGGCTTCAATGCCCAGTTTCATTAGTTCTGAAATAATCTGAAGGACATTTTATCTCTATGATTTGCTGGTTGGACTGCTCGGTAGACCAGTTTGTAGCAAGAAGGTCCGGGTTTGAATCTCTCTGCAGGGAGTTTGCATGTTCTCCCAGTGCATGCTTGGGATCTCTCTGGGTACTCCTGCTTCCTCTGGCAGTCCAAACTTGACTGTTGGGTTGATTGGCAACGCTAAATTGCCCTTAAGTGTCTGTGCCAGTCCATCGCAAGGGAACAACTGTCAATAAGAAGACAGAGGGGAATGCGAACTGAGTAAAGGACGCTAAGCCAAAGCAGTCGCCACGATAACTGCAATCAGAAAAGTGCTGGCAGTAGGGCAGGAAGCTTCCTATGGATAGTTCCTTTAGTCAGTAACCTACTGACGTTCCTGTCTTGCTCTCGCTATATAGATTCCCACAATCCTTAGTGTGACAGGACGTACAGGCACAGCCCACCTCACAGATTTTAACCCTAATGTTTATATTTCTTCACATGCATTGTGTCAGACATGCTGCACAACTTCATGTTTTGGATTTAAAGTGAGAGCTTTAACCGTTTGCTCCATTTGCTTTAAATTAGTTTTTTGAGGTTATTTTTTGTAAGGCTGTATTCCTGGTTTTTAATCCCACCATAGATGTCTGTCCATCCAAGGGGAGCTGCAGTCAAGAATCAGTCTCCAAGCCTCCAACTCCGCCCATGGCGCCCCCTGATAATGCTGATGAGAATTTCTGTGCTGCCTCCGTTTCAGTTTTCAATTAAATTAATGAATGTTGACCTTCAGTTTGTCCCCTTTTCTGTCTGATGCAAATCTATTTGAGGATTTCTGGGACCAACTAGTCCAACATTGATCTGGGGTACGTTTTCTGATCAGAGATAAAGGCTTGAATTGGTATTTGATCCCCTGAAGATTTTATTGGCCATTTTCTGCCTCCTGCAGTTGGAAAGCTCAATCATGAGACGCTAATAACTGAGGCTAAAAATCAGCCAATCTAAGGTGCTAAACAAGGCCACTGATAAATACGTTTTTAACACCTAATGTTTCAAAGGTGGAGCAGCTAAATGAAGACGATTCAGTAAAAGCTGTAAAAATTCATTTTCGTTTATTTATACAGTGCTGATTCACAACATGTCATCTAAAGGCACTTTACAGAAACAATTCAATCACATTATTCAAACAGATTGGTTAAAAGTTTTCTATCTGAGGAAGACCAGCTGATTGCATTAGATGGATGCTGAGTCTTAGTAGGGGCTGATCATTCTGCTCTTCCGTTGGCCTCCATGTTTACAGGCTCCTGCTCTGTTGCAAAAAAAAATAAAAAATACCAATGCTGCACTCTTTTTTTTGGGGGGTGGGGGGGCAATCCATGGAGATCTAACGTGATTGGCTGAGGAACCAGGAAGCAAACATGGGTTACGAGCTCCGTACCTCTTCGTTTGAAAGTAGAAAAATGTGACTAAGATGCTGTTAAACGACTTATTGTTTACGGTGAATGTTGCTGCCATACCAGGTGACAAGAATGATTTTGGTCAACTTTACAGTAAATGTCTTACGTACTGCTACTCTAAATTATAAATAAAAAAAATAATTGAAGTTTCTTAAGAATAAAACATCATGTAGAATATGTCAAAACGCAGAGAAAGTTCAATCAAATTTAAGTAAGGTAGAAAGTTTGGCTGTTTGTAACCTTCTTTATTAGTAAAGTAGCTGGTCTAATGCCCTCCTGGTCAGAGCTGCTAGATCATTCCTCACGGTTTGAGACATTAAATTATTTTATGCTGAGAAACCAGCTCTGTAGAACCTCCTCAGCAGGAACCAGAACCAGAATATCTAACTCTAACATCAGTGATGGTGTCCTGAAGTTCTAATGCATCATTTATAAAATCCAGCCAGATCACATGACGACCACTCCACTTACAAACTCAACTTTATTAGAAATCTGATACAGAACGGCATACGGACACAGAGAACGGGTTGATCTGCCCTCATTTATTCCTCCTGTACCTGTGGAGCAAAGCAGAACATCAGAACTTTGCAACTTAAAAAATCAGTTACAAAAGCTGGGATGGATGAGGCTCACCTGGAGCCACCTGTGCGCTTCCTGTCCATTCCAAGACGCTTCCTGTCTGCAAATGATGGCCTGAAAGAGACAAACATCTGGTCAGAAACAAAGTGAGACCAAGACTACCAGGAGATCAATAAATAACTGGTAACTAAAGCAATGGTTAAACGTTCAGTAATCCTTCTCACCCAGCTCTGTAGAGCTTTAGAGACTTGTTGCTGGTGTTGGTCAGCTCCTTGTCAAACACTGACTTTTTGCCTCGGTTTCCTGCTTTATGTTTAGTTGCTGCAGAAACAAGAAAAAAGGTTCAGCTGGTCTCGGTTGGGTCAGTGGTTCTGCATGTTTGTTGCATCAGACCAGTTTTCTGACCTTTCGCCGGCTTATCGTCGTCTTCAGGCATGGCTCTCGCTCTCTTCGATCGTCTATCCCTCTTGGCGGCTCGCTCTGCGAACATCTGAGCCTTCAGAATCTCAAACTGAGCGCGATCCTCAGACTGCGATAAGACGGACAGAAAAGATGCACTGAGCGCACGCTTAGGAACAGGATCCCCTATGGAGATCGATCAGTAATCCGTTTTACCGTCAGCTCCTTCTTCCTTCCTTCTTTCAGGAACTTTTCCCTTTTCTTCTTCCCTCTGAGTGCCAGATCGAACTCCTGCAGAGCCTTGGATGCTGACAGGGAATACAGCGAGTTACAGTGCAGCACAACGTGCAATACAGTAACACACATTAATACCATGCAAGCCTGCAGACAGGATGAGTGTATGTTTAAAGACTCACCGCGGCTCTGTTTCCGTTCTTGTTGCGTCTGGAACCAAACTCTCTGTGGGTCGCCGGAGGAGGCGGAGCCTTCTAGACGCTTTTGAGCCACGCTCAGCTATAGCACACACACAGATCCATGTTTTACAGACTTATTGAGGACCTTCCTTTGACTTTGATTCATTTTCTAATGTATGGAGGACTGCAGAAGGAATAGTGACACAGGCATATATATGTATATGCTGGTAAATCAGCCGTTGCCGTGGCGACCTGCAAAAGAGCAGCGTGAGCGACTGCACGAACAGCATCCGCCCCCTTCTTCTTCTGTTTGGCTAATACCGTTAGTTTCAGAATGCTCCTTTGCTACCATTGGCTGACAAACGCAAGAGGGATTTTGATTGTCTTTTTTAAATTTATTTACCGTCAATTTATTTTCAAATAATTTTTTTTTTTTTTTTTTACCCACCGGCAATCGCTATGAGCTGGAAATCCAGCCTGGGGCCTTTAATGCTTGCAGCAAACAATATTTTTTTTGCAAATCAATCCGTCGATTATTTTTTTTTTTGATGAATTGATTAAAAATCAGATAGCAAAAGGCTCCTTAAAGAAGAGTTTTTATGAAACTGGATAAACTAAAAGCTTTCTGGATAGAGCACATTAATAGAGAAAAAAAGTTTTTATCTTAAAAGCAAAATGTTTAAATACTTTTTAAAAATTATTTTGAAATAATTACTATGCTATTTAGGTCACTCTGGCATGTTTTAGAGTCTCTAATGATAAACCGATTAACTAAATTATAAGATAATTATTTCAATAATGGATTTATCATAAATAAACCGATTAATTGTTCCAGCCCTATTTGTATGATCAAAGAATTTAGATAACGTTCTTGTTATTGGATCATTAAATCAACTAAAGTATGTCTGCTATTAATTAATGAATCAAAGAATAATTTAAAAAGACTGCACATCTGAGAACATTGCGTAATAATCTGCATCTTTTTGGAGTTTGTGACGCTGCAGTATATTCAAATGTGTTTATATTTATAACCAAAGAACATTAAAAATGTTTATCTTTTACAACTCCATATTTTAGCAGGCTGACAGCTTTAAAATATATCAACTGTCTATAGCTTTTCAAGCTATTTAAAAACAATTAAAATATACTTTGAGGAAAACAGCAGACTGTATAATCCTAGTATTTCTGTGTAATCCCAATATTCCAACATGTGGCCAGCCAGCTGCCTTCGAGTAGCCTGGTTAATTTGCTCCAAACCAGTGAAACAAGCCCAACTCATTTCTTTTTTGGTATCATTTTAAAAGCCTGCTCAAAATCTGCAGGACAACTGGCTGGAATCGTAGAAATTGACTGAGCAGTTCATTTTAACCCTTGTTTCCAGCTTTAGTCCTTCTATCGTAGAGCTGGAACCGTTTAATTTACCTTGGCCTCAGACGCAGCCATCTCTCTCTCTTCTCTTTCCATCTTCAGTACTGCGTCAATATCTTTTTCCAGTTTGGTGATTAGATCTCTGAACTTCAGGATGACCTCTGGAGGAAAAACATACTGAGGGTTTAGATTTGGTTCAGACCCACATTGCCTGAAGAATCAGAACACGCGGTGCGCTAACCTGTTGGCAGGACGCGAGCCTTCACGCTGTTCTTGGCTGACTTCACCACCTCCTTCAGCATCTTCCTCTCAGATTCTCCGACTAGAGACACGGAGCGTCCAGAGCGTCCGGCCCGGGCCGTCCGCCCAACGCGGTGGACGTAATGCTTGACGGTAGAAGGCATTGTGAAGTTGATCACCTGAATATTAAAGCAGATTTTGAGATCATGGTACCGGCTACAGCTCCTGCTGGAGTTCAGATCAGAACGCATTCTGCTCTCACCGTTTTTACTCCATCGATGTCCAGTCCTCTGGCTGCAACGTCTGTCGCCACCAAAATATCAATCTGTTCATCTTTAAATCTCCTGCAGAACCCAGAGAACAAAGCTGGATGAGCGGAGACTCAGAACTAAACATCTAAAACCATTAGAACCTCAGAGTGAGCCTACCTGAGGTTCTCCAGCCTCTGGGTCTGGCTCAGTTCACCATGCAGCTCCCCCACTTTCAGCCCCAACAGGCCCAGCAGAATGTGCAGTCTGTGGGCCTGTTTCCGGGTCTGGGTGAACAACATGACGTGGTCTTGGAAAGTCCGGGTCAGCAGGGCTGGGAAGACAAAGAAACAGTCAATGTCTTCACAGGATGGCAGAACCTCGAAAGAACCTGTTCAGCAGAATGGCGGGAGGAACCGGACCCACCTGCCACCACAGCCTCTCTGTCTCCTTCTCGGTGCGGTCGGATCCGAACAAACTCCTGCCGAAGGAACGGAGCCACATCTGTGTTACTGTTCACAAAGATCCTAATCGGCTGCTTCAACGACACCGCGGCCAGGTCCTTCACCTGCAGAAAGAACCAGGTCACATGACCACAAACGCACCATAAGAAGACCACCTCCCCCATACGGGTAACAGGGCTTTAGCAGGAGCCGTACCTCTTCGCTCATAGTGGCCGAGAACAGCATGGTCTGCCGATTGTAGGAGCACATCCTGATGATCTCCTTCATCTGTTCTTCAAAGTACTCGTCCAGCATCCTGTCAGAACCAAAATAACCGACCCGTTAGCGTTTACCGGACTCAGGGAGTTCCCTGTCCCGTTTGGCTGGCCACAGTGCCCCCCACCTGTCGGCCTCGTCCAGGATCAGGATCTCGATGTGGCTCAGCTCGAAGCTGGGTGTGTTGTGAAGGTGGTCGATCAGTCTGCCTGGCGTCGCTATCAGAACATCTGGTCCCGCCCTCAGTGCCGCCTCCTGAGACTTCAGGTCCAAACCGCCTGCAGAAAACAATGCAGACGATTAACAGAAACCAGAGCCTGGCTGACTTTAATACACGAACGGGGGTGGATCGTATCCTTACCAACAGCCAAGCAAGTGGTGATAGAGGTGAACTGGGCCAACTGACGGGCCACCGAGTGGACCTGGATCCCCAGCTCTCTGGTAGGAACTAAAACTAAGACCCGGGTCACCTGGGATGTCTTGGGTTTATAGATCAAACGCTCTAAAACGGGTAGCATGAAGGCAGCCGTCTTTCCTGGGGAAAATAACGAGCACAATTAGCTTAAATGGTTCCCAATTGATGGATAGCGTCATCAAGAAACATCCTGCTTCTAATCGGCTAAGGGTCTGTCAGGAACGCTTACTACAAAGATCAATTCTTCCATTCCATTAATACAACATCCATCTATCCGTCTCCTAAAAGAATCATCTTGATCAAACATATGTCCAAGTGTTTTTCCTCATTATCTGAGACCAATAGAAAGAAATTTAAGTGATTAAGGTTTTTTTTAAGTTTTAAAAACATCCTGAAGTCTATATCCAACAGGTTGGAATAATCAGGACGAATAAAGTTCAGGATCAGGATGAATCATTACCATTCAGTCTGTTTTTAACACTTAAGAATGACTCTTAATCTGGCTTATAGGTTGGAATAAAAAAGCAAAGGAAATAGAATAAAGAAAGAAAACGTGTCCCAGTACCTGTTCCAGTAGCAGCACAAGCACACAGGTCTCTGCCCAGCAGACCTACTGGAACACAGGCTTTCTGGATAGGCGTGGGTTCTTTAAAGCCTAGGGCCGTGATGGCCTGCAGGAACAGAACCACAGAAAAGGGTGAGAACAGCTGGTGGACAACTGCGAGAACCATTTAAGACCAGGTCCACGGGGGTTCTCGTTCTAATGGGACGGCACTGGAAAGGAATCTGCTATGAGGTAGATGCAGTTCTACACAATCTGCTTGACAAAAACTGCCTCTGCACCAAGAAGCCGAATATGGAGTCGATGGGAGCCGGTCTGTAGGGTAGAGCCCTGCAGGACTGGACCGGGTCTTACCTTGAGGATGGGTCGGGACAGGTTCATTTCTTCGAACGTCAGCTGATCATTATACTGGGAGGCATCCTCAGAAAACGTCTCTAAAGTCTGAACACAAACACAGCGGTTACTATGGATACCCAGGACCTTTATAAGGACAGTTCACGGCTCTTCCTCACCTCTTCCTCAGCTTTCCTCTTCTTCCCTCGCCGTCCTTTGTCCCTCAGAGTGTCTGAAAGAAAACAGAAAGCAAATATAATAAATATAAAAGACTGACCTATTTGAATCTGGATGAATAACTGATTAATAGACTTCAACCAGTTCCTCCCAGTACACTCCACCCTCAAGAACCTTGCTTAGATCAAAACCAGAATTAAAACTTACTGATTTTACAAATTATTTCTCTTTGTCAGAATGATGGATTAATTTCTTTTAAGGCCAGTTTACCAGAACAGTGACACCCTGACAGTGGCCTGGTTCAAAGCTATAGTGTCAGGGCGGCTCAAGTTATCATATATTGGTCTGTTTACCTCTACATAAACGTTGATGGCTGTTTGTTCTTAATGTACAGAGTTTAATCTATTAAAAGACCAATGTTCCCAGCAGTAGCTGCTTTGATTGAGCCTAAATGTAATTAGTCAACATTTTGTTGAAGATGCAAACATGTTCTTGGTTAGATAAGGAAAAGAGAACCGCAGCCTTCGCTCCAGTTTATTCTCATATTGTTCTAAGATGTGGATACCAGTCTATTGTTCTGCTGCTATAGACTTAGGCTGCTGGAGGAAATGATGACCACTTTCTCTTCTTCAATTACTTCTTTCTCCTACTACTCTTCAGTTTTGTATCATTTGATCTTTTCATGTTCTCATGTTTCTTTTCACCGTGGATTTTCACCAATGCAACTGTGACTCATGGGATGGGGTAGTTGGTTTGCAATCGGAAAAGTATTAGGGGATGTGCCTATGACTGTGCAAACGTGGCTCTAATATAAGCTTTGAGTTTGTATGATCAGAAAAATGAAATATAGCCATTCATTCTTCAGCAGAAGCGCAATGATAAACATAGAGAACGAACTCTTGAACAATGAAATCTCAAATGCAAATAGTAATACATGAAATAGAACATGTGAAAAGCAGCTAAAATGTAGTATAAACTCATGCATCAACTGTATTAATAATGATCATATTTTCTTTTTCAGTAAGAAGTTTTTTCAAACTTCCTTTTTTGTAACAGCATTGTTGCATGAATAATTAGTTCCAATGTTTTTCTGTGATGGAAACCTCAGATTCTTTGTGTAAGACCCGTTTCACAAACAACTTTAAGAACAGCAGAACCAACATTTTAGAACAAGTACGACTATAAGGACAATGTTCTCACCTGATTTTGTCAGAACCTCTTCATCACTTGATCCAAACTCTTCCTCTTCATCACCATCCTCTTCTTCTTCTTCTTCTTCCCCTTCCTCCTCATCTTCTTCCTTCTCAGTCCCACTAGCCTCCTCCTCTTCCTCCTCCTTCATCTCCTTGGACATCCCAGCTTCAGAACTTTGAGACAATTTCTCCTAATGAACCAAATAATAAATGAATAAAAAATTGAATCAAAAAGGAAATAAATTGAACAGGAAGTGGATCAAATGGGAAAAAGATTCAGACAGGAAGAGGTCCAAGGAAAGACTCACCTCAGCTTTTCTCTTCTTCCTGATTTTCTCTATTTTCTGGTCCAGAGTTGTCACGACCCTCTGTGGAAACAAATCACAATCAGAACCTTTAGTAACACATGGGATAGAAGTTCTGCTGTAGGTTCTGATGGGTTCTACCTTCTTCTTGAGTTGGCTCAGGACGTCGCTCATGGCCCAATCATCATCCAGGTTCAGACTGTCACTTTCTCCAAACTCAAAGTCACAGTTAAAGTCTTTCGACTTTTGGCCTCCAAGCTTCTTCTTACGGTTCAGGACGATGGGCGCCTCCTGCAGGACGACAGGTGAAGGCTCGGCTTAAATGACCACAGTGTCCAGTATACAGCCATGTTCAATACCTGGGAATAATCTGTAAGGTTCAATTATTATGTCTGTTCAGATATCAATTCATTGCACACAAACTAAGGGTTTTAGGCCATCAGTCTTGTCTATGATGATTTTCTGCTTAAATAAAAAAAAGAAAACATTAAGGATTACAATATATCAGACACAAAATTGAAGATTTAATGCAGAAATGTGGGATTAAGAAAAGGTAGGTTTAGTACCTACTTAAAAGTTATTTTATGCAGCTGTTCTTGTCTTACAATCAAGCATAATCAGAACCAAATATTTATTGGGAATGATTGGTCTGCAGCAAGTTTGCTGGCATTGCTCCCCCCTCCCCAACTTAGTGCAGGACTGTTTGAAGATTAATAACAAAATGGACACAATCAGGAGGATTTGAAGTTTCTCAGAAATGTCCAAAGCTCAGCTGGACAGTTTCAGATCCAGAGGTTTGGTGGAAGCGGCTGGCTAGCAGCTGTACGTCACCCATTCTGCAAACAGGAAGCCTGGGTTTGCAGCCCTGCTGAGGGGGGAATTAACAGAGTGTTAAGGAACCTTGAGGTCACGCAAGTTAAACCCCAGCAGAACTCCCAGTTTGTGTGAGTCCCAAGGCAAGATGCTTCACATTAATGCCTGCTTTTGGGGGGAGTGGCGGCTGTGTGCTTGGAATCTAGAGGTTCTCTCACGGACCGCCACTCTGGGTCTGAGCAAAGACCCTTAACGCTACTCTGCTCCCCGGGTGCCACACAATGGCAGCCCACTGCCCCCCCAATGGGATGCAGAGGTAAACTTCATTAATTTTGTTGCTCTGTACTTGTGACAGTGTAATGACAATAAAACTCTAGAAAAACAGGACATGTGCCAAAACTCAGCTGCATCTGCAGATTAGTAACGAGAATAAAATCCAAAAAAAAAGAAAGACCTTTCCTCTGATTCATTGACTGGTGACCAGGATGAGAAATATCAGATAGTTTTTCAGGTTTAATGTGTCATTTGTTTAGCTGCCAATATGAAAAATTCAGATGTATTTTAATGCCACTTTGCTTAACATAAAGTGATTTGCTGAACAGTGTGAAATAGCAGTTAAATTTATTTTGTTTCCCTAAAGCTGCTCTGTTTAAAGAGATTCCCAGTTTAAAGGTATTATTAATTATTCATTTTAAGCCTTTACACCATGTGTGCTAAATGTGGAGCTGCATCTTATTTTTTTTTGCTGCCAGTAATATTCAAAAAACTAAAATAAAATTTAGTATCCTTTTTATTTATAAAGGTTTTATTTCTTACTTTATTTGTTCTACTTTAATCATCCTTTGTGTCTTGTTTTGGTTTATGTGGAGAACATTGGTATTAAAGTGGATTTCTGGTTAAAAAACAAAACAGATTTTGATCTGATCTTACTTTGCTAGGCAGGCGATCCTCTATTTACTTTAAACCCAAAGCAGAGCCAAAGATGCCACCGGTTCTCCTGGTTGGATTGAACTGGGCTGGTGTTTATTAATTGGCATTTTTCTCAGCTCACTGATCAAATCCATGATCACCTTTCTGAACAGAACCACTGCTGACTGGGTCAGATAATGGGGAAGTTTCAGCCTGTTTAGTGCGCTCATTTACAGGTGCTGGTCATAAAATTAGAATATCATGAAAAAGTAGATTGATTTCAGTAATTCCATTTAAAAAGTGAAACTTGTATATTATATTCATACATTACATACAAACTCATATATTTCAGATGTTTATTTTGTTTAATTTTGATGATTACAAATGACAACAAATGAAAATCTCAAATTCATCATATCAGAAAATTAGAATATTGTGAAAAGGTTCAAAATTGATGGCCCCTGGTGCCACACTCTAATCAGCTAATTAACTCAAACCACCTGCAAAAGCCTTTAAATGGTCTTTCAGTCTAGTTCTATAGGCTACACAATCATGGGGAAGACTGCTGACTTGACAGTTGTCCAAAAGACGACCATCGACACCTTGCACAAGGAGGGCAAGACACAAAAGGTCATCGCTAAAGAGGCTGGCTGTTCACAGAGCTCAGTGTCCAAGCACATTAATAGAGAGGCGAAGGGAAGGAAAAGATGTGGTCGAAAAAAGTGTACAAGCAAGAGAGATAACCGCACCCTGGAGAGGATTGTGAAACAAAACCCATTCAAAAATGTGGGGGAGATTCACAAAGAGTGGACTGCAGCTGGAGTGAGTGCTTCAAGAACCACCACACACAGACGTATGAAAGACATGGGTTTCTGCTGTCGCATTCCTTGTGTCAAGCCACTCTTGAACCACAGACAGCGTCAGAAGCGTCTTGCCTGGGCTAAAGAGAAACAGGACTGGACTGCTGGTGAGTGGTCCAAAGTCATGTTCTCTGATGAAAGTAAATTTTGCATTTCCTTTGGAAATCAAGGTCCCAGAGTCTGGAGGAAAAGAAGAGAGGCACTTCATCCACGTTGCTTGAAGTCCAGTGTAAAGTTTCCACAGTCAGTGATGGTTTGGGGTGCCATGTCATCTGCTGGTGTTGGTCCATTGTGTTTTCTGAGGTCCAGGGTCAACGCAGCCACATACCAGGAAGTTTTAGAGCACTTCATGCTTCCTGCAGCTGACCAACTTTTTGGAGATGCAGATTTCATTTTCCAACAGGACTTGGCACCTGCACACAGTGCCAAAGCTACCAGTACCTGGTTGAAGGACCATGGTATCCCTGTTCTTAATTGGCCAGCAAACTCTCCTGACCTTAACCCCATAGAAAATCTATGGGGTATTGTGAAGAAGAAGATGCAATACACCAGACCCAACAATTCAGAAGAGCTAAAAGCCACTATTAGAGCAACCTGGGCTATCATAACACCTGAGCAGTGCCACAGACTGATCGACTCCATGCCACGCCGCATTGCTGCAGTAATACAGGCCAAAGGAGGCCCAACTAAATACTGAGTGCTGTACATGCTCATACTTTTCATGTTCATACTTTTCAGTTGGCCAACATTTCTATAAATCCTTTGTTTTTATTGGTCTTCAGTAATATTCTAATTTTCTGATATGATGAATTTGAGATTTTCATTTGTTGTCATTTGTAATCATCAAAATTAAACAAAATAAACATCTGAAATATATGAGTTTGTATGTAATGTATGAATATAATATACAAGTTTCACTTTTTAAATGGAATTACTGAAATCAATCTACTTTTTCATGATATTCTAATTTTATGACCAGCACCTGTAATTTAAACCAGGGGTCTTTAACGTTTTCAAGGCCAGGACCCCAAAACTGATGGTGAGATGGAGCAGGGACCCCTTATTTATATATATTGTATGAAATTGTGTTATATCAGACAGGCCCTATAGTCACTCTATTACAGATCGAGTAATATAACCAAAGTCATTCCTCCCAGGGATTATTCAAGTATTTCTGATTCTGATTAATGGGACAGGTGTTGTGAATGGAACGGTGTCCAGCTTGAAAGAGCTCCTGTGTGTCGCTGAATGTGTGCATTGATGTCTGAAAGACATCTTCTGCCTCCATTTATCCGTTTACTACAATGTGTTGAATTCATGTTAATGTGGATTTAAAGACATTAGTGGAAAAAAATTGCAGGAGGGAAATATATATATAAAAAAGTCAAATCAACCAAAACTTTTGTGACGCCCATGCAGCACCACGGCCCCCTGTTGAAGACCTCAGCTTTACACCATTATAGAGAGTTCTGACAGAACACTGGTTCTGATTTCTCACATGATCAAGTGTTGTTCAGGTGGGAATCAGAATCCAGACCTTTGGATCAGGCTGGTTACTCAGCTGTGGAAAGCCAGGGTGATATAAGCAGAACTAATCCACTAGAGAGCTGTTGGTTTGTTTAGTTGTAAAGATGAACCTCTGCTGGTCCTAACAGGAATCGGTTCTGGTCCAGTTTGTCCACAGAGATGCTCAAACTGCTGGAAGCTGATCTGACAACAGAACCAGAAGCAGGGATCTGGAGTCCAGTCAGCCCCAGACTGGTAGCTTCCTTAAGTTCAGCCACACCAGAACTCCCAGTTTCATCAGCACTGGTATTTCCTGACTCCCTTGAACTAAACTCATTTTAAAGTCCTCTTCTTTTGCTGAAAACCGGTCTGTGACTGCAGATTGCAGCCCAGTACCAGAACCGGACAGTCCGTTTAACGTGTGTTTCTGCTGCTGGTTCTGAACTTACCTCCGGTTCGGATTCGGTGTCCGGTTCTTCTGGGCTCAGGTCATCGTCCCGAATGGTTCCGATCAGACCCAGTTGCTCCAACATGATTAGACAACGGTTCTAGATCTACGAGGTTCGCAAGGGATTCTGTTATCGCCTGGAAACTTGCACGTGTTTACGGAAGACGGAAGACAAAAGGCGTGTTTCCGGTTTAGCTAGTGATGCGTTTTTAGCGCCCTCTGCTGCTGCGGAGGGCCTTTGTACTGAAAAAAGACTACAGTATGTATACCTGTGCATGCATATATATATATATATATATATATATATATATATATATATATATATATATATATATATATATATATATATATATATATATATATATATAAATGGCTAAGGTTTCTAACAATACAGGGCTCGATGTTAACCATTGCCCGATCGCCTGGGGCAAGTACTTTTTATTGTAGGGAGAGTACAAATTTCATTGCATTTGCCCACCGGGCAAATTACTTTAAAATCACCGACATTCCTGAGCTATCTCTATAGTTATGCTGCTATAGTCTTAGACTTTTGGAGGACATAGGATCCCCATTTCATCATTCTGCTTCATTCTCTCTCTGTTCTCCTATTCTGCAGAATCTGTTAGTTCAATCTCTAACCTTCTGCTCTCTCTGCTTTTCCTCAGAGTAGCTTTGCCTCGTCTGTTCCTGTTTGGCTGTGACGTCATCCTGGAAAGAAACATCAGCTGTGCTGCTTCCATCAACACCCTTGTTTATAGATGTTGGAGATCGGCCTGTTTTCCAGTGTGGTCCTGTTTCTCTGACCGTGACTGAGTGGATGTGCTCTCTTCATCCTCTGACATGGGAGCTGGCTCGGAGCTCGTCTGCCTGGCTGTGTGTTTCCTGGGCGGGGCCGCCTTTTACAGCTGCTTTTTGTATCTCTGCTTCTGTCTCCTTGAACCCCAGTCGGCCTCGACAGATGGCCGCTCACACTGAGCCTGGTTCTGCTGGAGGTTTCTTCCTGTTAAAAGGGAGTTTTTACTTTCCACCGTCGCTACAAGCATGCTTAGTGTGAGGGATTGTATTTGAGTCAATGAGTCAATGCAATCAACTGGTTTTCCTTAGACAGAAAACTTTGTATCAATTTGACTGTATGATCTGGTGAACTGTAAAGTGCCTTGAGATGACATGTGTTGTGAATTTGGCGCTATAGAAATAAACTGAATTGAATTGAATTGAAATTAGCTGAAAACGACTTTTTTGTTGTTTTGTACACATTCTCGCGTGATTTGAAAAAGACGCGTGATTTGAAAAAGCCGATTTTTGTCAACCTAGCGGTAGTCATAGATATCCATAATAAATTTATTATGGATATCTATGGCGGTAGTTACCAAAATGACAAACAAGCTAGAAAGAGAAAGCGCTATCATATGGCAGTCTTCTGTACAGTGGTCATTAAAAAATGTTCATAATTTTTTTCTCTCAGAGATTGGAGAGGTGCATTTAAATGTTATAGAGCTAAACATGTTCCATTGGTGACCTGTTATGTTATTATTATTGTCTTGTTGCTGCATTTATTTTGTCAGGGAAAACTAATCCTGAGTCAGTTAAAAGTCAAGGAATTCTGAAATTATGTAAGACTGTGGAAACCCTGTATAAAATAACTGTATATTGATTCTCTAGAAAAGTCACATTATATTAATAGTATTATCTTGTATAAACATACTGTGACTCTAAAATAAAAGTTATTCATTTGTGACATTGACTTCTGTCTTGTGATTTATCTTAAATTTTGAACCTGTCAAGTTTTTTTTTTAGATTTTTAACATTACAATTTATATTTTTCCAAGCACACAACAGTTTAAAGCAACGTTTAGTTTGAAAAGAATGTGCAGGAAGGATTGAAAAGCATGTTAACACGGTAATGTAGGCTTGAGTTCATTATCTGATGCATGCATATACACACCAGGAACCTGGAAACTTAAAAAATACTGAATTACAAAAAACATAAAAAAAACAAACATGTTTCATTGATATATACACAAAAATGAATATTAGGAACTATATTTATCAAGCATTATACTGGGCAAGTAAAAATAGTTTCTGGGCAAACGAAATGTGAAAGTCACTTGCCTGAAGGGCAAGTGGTAAAAATCCTTAACTTCAACCCCTGCGATATTAATCCTGATATGAAAGATAAAGGTTTCATTACAGGGGCTGCATTAAATATTTTACAAAGACTTACAAAAAGAAAAAAACATTTTGTGAAAAGGTAGAATTTGGCAAACAAAGTAATATTATTTGTTAAATATTCTGTTTTTGGTCAATATTTGACCCCTTTCCAGGTTACAGGATGTATTTTAAAGACTATGAGACAACCCAGGTATGAATTTATTTCCATACATTGACACACAGGGTTGTCAAAAGTACTCATATTCTGTACTTAAGTAAAAGTACCGATAACTGTGTAATAAAGACTGTAGTAAAAAGACAAAGTCAAGTCAAGTTTTTTTTCTTTACCTTAAAGGTTAAAAAATAGCTTTTAAAACTATTCTTAAAATAGTTTTATTCACATAAGGCAACATTTTCATCTGTTATATCTGGTGTTTCCGTGGCTGTAAATGGCTCTTTGGTTCAGTGTCTCACTATATATTTATCAAATGATAAACTTGTTAGATATAAAGAGAATTAAAAATATAAAATAATGAATGAAAGTTTTCAAGCTTCATCAAAGCAGGTAATGAGATTGAATAGCTGAGAGCTGGGAAGTCAAAGTGAAATCATTTCTGAGCTGAATGAGTTTGTTTCCAACTTGTGGCCACTACTGTTCTCTGTTGCTCCAATAAGGCCACTATGGCCACCACTACATCCATTTAGGACTTGGGATTTTAAAAGTTATCCCTAAAAGTAAACAACACCAAAGTACCACAAGTAAAAAAAATGAATATAAACCGCAGACTGAGTTCTACAAAATTATTATTGACAATTAAGTTAGAAAATATAATCCTCGTTAAAAATCATTTTCTTTGGTGTACTACTTGATCCCTGAGAAGAGAGGGAGGTGTGAGGTAAAGGCAAGTATTTCATTTATTACACCAAAAAAATATCTTCTTATTACTCTAACACAGGTCTTCTTTTGAAAGAAAAAAACCCACACAAATATACATTAAGAATGTAACTTTGCAACAATTCCTCATATTGAGCATGCATTAGGCGACAGTGGAGAGAAAAATTCCTGTTTAACAGGAAGGGATCTCCAGCAGAACCAGAACAAGGTTTAGCAAGAACGATTAGTCAGCTGACTAAGCATGTCTACAGTATTTCAGATTTTTTTCACAATAAAACAAAGTTATTTAACAACGGAATGAAAATGAAAAACACCTAAGAGTTAAGATTGCAAGACGTTTTTTTATCAGTCTTAGATTATGGTGGCCTTTTTTATAAGAATGCTACTTCTTCATGTCTTCAAATGTTGGACTCTGTTTACCATGCTTCATTAAGGTTCATCACAAACTGTAGAGCCATGACATCACTGTGACCTTTACTCACAGGTGGGAGGTCCTTCCCTCTCTATGAGAAGGCAGTGTCCTTTTTTTTAATTTTATTTACAAGGCCCATCTTGTATTACTGCCCTCTTACATTTGTACCTTACTTAGACAGAAAAGCATGGCTTCTTATGCCCTGAGATCCAACGATCAGCTGTTGCTCACTGTTCCTTTTACCCGCACAGAACTGGGGAAGAAACCCTTTAGCTACGCAGCTCCTTATGTGTGAAATTTTTTTTGTTTTCAAAGAAACTGGAAATTGACTGAGTTTTTATCTTTAAATGCTTTTAAGTTGAAAGTGAAAGAATTTGAAGCAGCCTCAATGATATGTAATTGCTTTACTTGATATGTTTTTTTTAAATACTTTTTTTAATGTACCTGTCATTTATTTTAATGTATCTATGATTTTTATGTAACTTTGCTGCCTCTTGGCCAGGACTCCCTTGAAAAAGAGGTTTTTAATCGCAATGGGATTTTTTTTCCCTGGTTAAAGCTACAGTGTGTAATAATTACAGGGATATACAGACAGAAATCTAAAATATTATACATAACTATGTTATTTATCATCATCTACGAGCTCAGCCTCTTAACCTTAATATTTGCGTTGCCTTAGAATTCGTTATTTATAATTACATAGGAGCGGGTCTCGCAGCCATGGATAAGGAATTAGCTTAAATTTAATAAAAATACATTTAATTTAAATTACATTAAATGTTTCTTTTACTCTTAGAAGAGCTGAAATGTAGCAGTAAGCGTTTCTACAATCTGGGCAGACAGAAAATACCCGATCAACTCATCTCATTTTAACTTTGATCTCAGAAGATCAAAAAGAAACGGCTGCAAGAAACGAGTGCTGTGAAAGTTGTGGATGTAGAGAAGACAATAAAAAACAGAAAGACTCTCATCCAGCAGTACTTTCTATGCCCTTCATGTTGGAGTTGTTAGGAATAGGTAATGAACAGGTTTATGTAGACCATGATGACATGCTGAGGAATCGCTCTGTTATCAGATGTTCTTCAGCAGGACCGTCTACTGTATATATCACTTCATTGTTGTGTGGTCAGCTCAGGATTTGTCCTGCAAACCTGGAAGAGTTGTTACCTAGATTTCTGATGGGGATCATGGCTGTGAAGTTCTGAACTTTTGCTCCATTCATTGATCCAAAATCAGTTTATCAATCCCTCAGTTCTACTTCTGCGTCTCTTCATGGTTCTGAAGTGAATCTTCAACAGAATCAGAACCATGTTTCTCTCAACAGCTTTAGGACCTTTCTATGATGGTTCTGTATGGAAATAAATGTTTTGATCTCCCTTGAAACTGAAATAATAAAAAAACAAAACAAAACAAAGCCTTTCTTAGTTTCCTGATGCTGGATCTGCTCCCTCAGGTGTAAATCGCTGCTGATTTGGTCCATCTTTGGTCCATCCCGACCCGCTCAACCTCATCCATCTTATCTAGACGGTAGAGGGTTTCTGCACAGTTCAGTGTAGACCTTGCAGACCTTTTGTAGACCTTAAAAACCGAAGGGTCACCTGATCATGCACGCTATCTGCAACTGGAGTAATTAATCAATGATCACAAAAGGAACCAAACAGAACTTATCAAGGTTTAATTGACACACAGTAACATTTCCTGCAACAGGAGGAAATGTTTCAGTGGAGAAATGTTTGTGGGTAAAAGTTGCTGAAGTATTGCCAGGTCCCAGCTATGATTGACAGCAGCAAACTGGTATTTTACAGCAACACAACATGCATGGTAGGCAGACCATTCCCAATGATGATAGTTTTGCAACAGAGGGATTAAATCTTTCTCCAACATATTCAGAGACAGATGAAATGGAGGTCACTTCTCCTGAATTACATCACATCCCAGATGCAGGGACCTGAGGAGGGCACAAACAGGCGATTTTAGACACAAAAACAAGATTTCAACAAATGTGCAGTAAATGAATCCCTGCCTCATGTTGACAGCACTATATGACATCTATCTGTACAGTTTATCAACAGAAAAAAAAATCAATTTAAAGGCAAACAGTTCTTTTAGACAGGGATTTTCCTAACTTAAAACATTTTTTCAAAATAAAAGCATTTTACAGATTTTTATGTAAGATTATATTGCTACAATAAAACATATGCATTTCTGCCATAAAACAAAACATATTCTAAAAAAAAAGAGACATGTTAAAGTGCAATCACACAAAGGCTCTAATCTTTACCAATGGGGTGATTCATATTGTTCTCCTGCCCTCTGCAGTGGACTTTCAGTTTTTCTTCTCTCTTGACTCAGCAGCTTTTCCGAGCTTCATCCAGGATGCAGAAAGAGAAGCCCTCAGAGCCGGAGGAGGAGGAGTCAGTCCCTGGGGATAAAAACTCTGCACAGAGGATCAGACGCTCAGACTGACCCAAGTGAGCAGAGCAGAATCAACCATCCAGAGACGCCAGAACCAACCAGAACACGTCTGGTCAGAACTCCTCCTTCTGCAGCTGATCGGTGAGTTTCATCTCCAGACATTCAGATGAAAGTTCAGCAGCAGACAGATGGATCCAGATACAGATGGTCAGACAGATTAACAGGCTTTAACTATGAGGAGGTGAGTGTTTTACAGAACAGCTTCTGATACTTCAGAGATCAAAGGTTTCCAGGTTATTTCTTGACTTTCTGGGTCAGATCTTCATGTTTTCAGCCTAACTTCTGATGCATCTCCTCCTGTACTTTAAACTAGACAAAGATGTTTTTTCTTTTCTTTTATCAAAAAAAGAAGGTTCTGGATTGTTAATCATGAGATAGAGTTCAGTTTGAGTGAAAAATCCAAGCTTAGCATCAGTCAAAGAAGTCTAATAAATCATGCAAACAAGGGATTTGACTTTGATTTCACTTTTCTCTCATCTAACACATTTTAAATGTAAACTTATATTGCATAAAATGTGCAAGTGTGTTTTTAAAAAAGAGGAATAATGATGATTTTGTTTCTTAAATCAAGAAACAAAATCATCAGAATCAGGCTTAAAATGAGAGATACAGGAGGACATTTCGGGCTCCACTGAAGTGCCTGTGGTCATGTGTGCTGCAGCAGCTGGATCCTGATTGGCTCTTTAATAAACTGGTCTGATTATAGACTGAAGGATCTGAGCTGCTGATTAAAGGTTTTCAACATCTGCTGCTGGGTTAAATGTGCCCTGGATTTGGTCTTCAGGGTCAGTGTGGAGCTGGAACACTGGGTAGGAGTTCAATGGGCAGAATATGTGTGGGAGGCAGACCCTGAGCTGTGACTCACAGGCTTCCTGTTTTTCTCCTGTCTTTGTGGACTTGTCTCTGTTTATTTTTGTCTGATCATTGATGGAGACGTCAGCTCAGCTGTCCGCGCTACTTCACTCTGATGGACCAGCTGTGTGAACAGAAAGCTGCGCCTGAAAACATCCCTCTGTGTGACGTCTGTTTCATAGAAAGCCCAAAATGAACTTTAGTAACCTCAGTTTCACAACACCAGCAAACTCTCACCCCCATCTGTCCCCTGACCTGATTTCAACAGATCCCTTTCAGGAGAGAGTGAGGCAGCATGAGCTGCTCTGGCAGTTTCCTCTTAATTCAACTCTATCCATCTCAATCCTTCCTTCAGCATCAGAACCTGGAGATTCATTTATTTCTCTGTGAAAGCTTTTGCTAAAATCATCTTTACGCTTTCTAACAAGAAATCCTCTTGAAGTATTTCAGATTCAGCTAACATGTAAATACCAAACAGGTAAACCTGACTCCATCAGCAAAAATCTGCAGAACCAACATACACCTACATGCCCAGAGGTTTTTGCCCTAACAGTAAGACCCATGTGAACAAACAGAAAGGTTCACCATCCCTGCAGCTAAAGGAGCTGCACAGCACCAGTCTATTCTAGTTTTTACAGTTATTGACAAGCAGGAAGCTGCAGAACATTTTGTGGACAATTGCTTCAGCCAAAAAATGAACCCTGTCATGATCCCTGTTTAAGAGTTTTTGTGGCATTCATGTCTGTAATCCATGGCTATGATGCACTGCAGTTAAAGTTTCAACATGGCATGTTACCATGCCAACATCTGGAGCCCTACACACAAATCACTGTGGTCATAGTCCTTCAATAAAGCAGCAAGATTTAGCTGTTGATTTGATCAAGTCAGAAAACAGCAACTTCTCACAGAATCTTGATTAAAACTAGAACCAGTGATCAAACTATGAAAAACGAACCACTGCAACAGTAACCCATAGGGAGATAAAACCCATCTCACCCGCATTTTGTAAGTCTTTTTTTTTTTTAAATTTCAGGTAACAATGACTTCCCCTCTGTTGCCCGTCCTTATCCTGTCGTCTTTGGTGTTCATCATGGCGGCTGCTGAACCTGCTGGCTGTAAGATCAGGATCACCGACAAAGCCTTAGATATGTGTAAGTATTTGGACATTAGGTCTCAGAAAACAGAGTAACAGAGTTTAAAGCTGATGTGTAAATGTATGAGTTCGAATTTCTGTTTCCAACGCTTGCAGCAACAATGTCGGAACATTATGGCGCTCCTAAGTGCTTAAAATAAAAAGTTAAAACGTAAAAAATATCTGATACATACATAATGTATAACTGGATGCAAATTAAAAAAATTACCTCTCAGCTTATTTTTAGGAAATATCCTATAATGTCTTTTGAAAGAAAACTGGATCATCCATCCATTTTCTGTCACACTTTATCACAAGTGGCTTCACTAGGGGTGCTGGTGCCTATCTCCAGCTGTCTACGGGTGAGAGGCGGCTTAGACCCTGGACAGGTTGCTGTTCTATCGCAGTGCAACACAGAGACAAACTGGAAAAATAAAATTCATTTATTAAGCCAGAATTTAGAACACACAATTAACCTACAGTTATTATTTTTGGACTGTGGGAGGAAGCCGGAGTACCCGGAGAGAACCCATGCATGCTCAAGGAAAACATGTAAACTCCAGGCAGAAAGACCATGGGCCGGGATTTGAACCCGTAACCTTCTTGGTGCATGGCAGCAGTGCTGCCCACTTTTCCACTGGATCATAATAATAATAATAGTAAAAAAAAAAAATTATTACTCCATTTTTTCTCCCTATACTTGAAAATATTGTTAAGGCTTTGGTTCGGATTGCCTTCTATAAGCACAGTGCTTCCCCGTTTAAATAAGGTTTGGAGGTGAATTATTGTAATTTTAAATATTTACTCTAAATAGTACAGTGTGGATATTTTTACGTAGTTTCCCTCTTGTTCATTTCCCTCCCCGGTTATACCCAGCCGTTTCTCCCTTTCAAGAATCTTGTGGTAAAGAAAAATAAAATATAAACAACCACAAAATAATACATATAAACACTTTTTAAACTCTTCAAAGAAAGATATATACGTCATCTTTAGAAGTAATAAACATCTTTGTAGGAAAATTTGTGCATGGAAATATAGAAATATAAAATGTAGGGACTGAAAAGGCAATGAAATGAGCTGGGGGTCTATTTGCTTGTCAGCAGGGGTGGTTATGTGTCCAAAGAGCAGGGCCGTGCAGAGACCACTAAAGGGGCAGGTGCTCAAAAAAAAAAAAAGGGCACATCTTATCGCATTTTAGGACAGGATATTAACAAAGTCACATAGCTTTCAGAGTTTAATGAACAATGATAAATTACAAAATTGTGAGACATACAATCAAAGCTAAGGGAAATCTCTACATAGAACATAGAACTATGCATATGTAAAATATTTTATTAGTAATTTCTTTCTGCAGGTCTATTTTGTTATAGGAAAGTATTTCAATATTCAAACCTGCAATTTAGCCAAAGATGTAAATCAGAGCTGGACCAGCAGACATATTTTGTCTTTACAGAATTAAACTGTTAAAAATGCATACAAGGGCACAATGCAACCTTTTAGTGTACTGTAATCTATAAAAAAGAATGTCTGCCTGGTTTGCTGTACTGACAGTGGAGATGGAGACGGTCCATTCAGAAAAGCAGAGCTGCTGCATCAAACTTTAACTAGAACTGCAGAAAAAAAAGAACAAAACAAACATTTTATTAATGCATGTCACCATGAGAAAAGCCTACTCTGTTTGTGCCTTAGTGTATTTTGTAAGTACCTATATACATTTTCTTCAATCTTTCCCCTTCGTTTTTTCTTGTCAGTTTCTCTTTTCTTTTTTTCCTCATTGTCTCATCTTTTCTGTGTTGAGTGAAGGTCAATGTCTTATTTATTTCAGTCTCTTGCCTTTCTTTTTCCCCCAAACTAAATCCAAGATTATGATCCAAAAACTTATTTTCCGTCATGGTGATTTAACTGTTTAAAAACAAATTTCCAACTTTTAAGCATTTTTGCTATTTTTGTTCTCTTTTGTTCACAGCAGCAGTTTTCTGTTAGCCATGTCTTTAAAAATGTTAACCTCACTGTGAATGATTGGCACATCCTTCTTGATTGCCAACAAAAGAAGGTCTGACAACCGATCCTCCTTGCATAAGCTGCGCAGTTTTGTTTTCACCAGCTTCATACATTATATCTATCATATATCTATCATGGTAGTTCTGGATGAGTTCTCCTTCAAGATACATTTACCTAACGCTAGAATAAATGAAATGTACATCATGCAGCAAAGGAAATTAGAAAATCAGACATATATCCATTATGGAGATGATAGGTTTTTGACGGGCGATGTGCCCCTATTGCATAACTAATACTGAAGAATGTCCTACTATCATTAACGACACAGGGAAGCTTTTTAGTTATCTTGCTTTGCTAGCAAAGTCATTAGCTAGCAGCTAGCTCATAGCACAAGAACAACAGCCTAATGTCTGTATGATAAAAATACTGAATCGATAGATAAGAACAGCTTTTCCTCACCTGGCTGTCTCCTCCCGCTCAGTAGTTCTTCAGAGAAAGGCGCGCCGCGTCCTATACTTTCCTCCGTTTAAACCGCTACTCATTGCTAAAGTAGAGAAATTATACAACGTTCAAAGTTTTCCGTTGTCTGACAAGTAGGAAGCCTACTCCAGTATTTTCACCAAAAATTATGTTTTTTAATTCACAAAAAAACTGTTCTGTAATCATTACAGAACAGTTTTTTGTGAATTAAAAAACATAATTTTCAATGTAAAAGACTAAAAGCACAGAGTAAACAGTGTTTTAGATCAAACAATACTGCATCATCCATGGGGCTCATTTGGTTTCACTTACATGTCTATTCCGGTTGACATTGGAGAGGCGGTGCAGACTGAAGACATAGCCATCCGTCCGATCATGGTTGATCTTGCTTAGGGCCAAATGAGCAGCAGCCACAGTGTAATGTGGAATGTTCGCTACCTTTAGCTCCTCAGTTAGCCGCCTTATCTGACTGTGCGAGAGGCAAGTGCGTCGTCACCGGCAAAAGGTCAAAGGTAACAATGTGACCGGAGGGCTTATTGTAATGTCTTTCTTGCCAAAAAAAAAAGATAATAATAATTTCAGTACATGTGTCAAATAAAAAAAAAAACAAAAACAAAAAAAAAGGGACCAAAAGGGCACATTGGGATCATGGAGCAAAAGGGGCAGGTGCTCAAGCACCCTTAGCCCCCCCCTCTGCACGTGCCTGCCAAAGAGGGCTGTGTGTGTTTTTTCCCCATGTAAAGGTGAGATGGGATGTGAGTGTCTGACCACACTGAGATGATTGCTCTCACATCAAGGAAACATTTTCTTCTTCCTGATAGAAGCGGGACAAACAGAGCATCAAAATGGATTAATTTAAATGTTTTACTCTGCAAATACATCATGAAGAACAATACCATCCCTGGGTTTTGTGGCTTATTGAGAACTAATGATGATAAATAACCTTTCATGTTGTGGCCTAACCTCACCCAAACAGGCTGCACTAACAGAATCTAACTTTGTGTCACAGACTAAAACAGTGTAAAAAGAGATAAAGCGATGTTGCTATGTGTTTTTTTACCTGGTGGGGACAATTTCCTAAAAATATGGTTCACCTCCAGGACTTCTCACTGCTTTTGGAACCAATGACTGCTCTCCATGAGGAGAAGTTGTCTTCTTTAGGTTCCCACTAAGGTGTGAATTGAGCTTAGGTCAGGTTAGGGTTAGGAATGTGTTGGTAAGGGTCAGAGTTAGGCAATAGAAATGAATGCAATAGAAATCAATTAAAAGTCCCCATCAGGATAGTGTGAAACAACATGAGTGTAACTGTGTGTGTTTTGTGTATTTTTAGTTAAGTTTGAGACTCAGAAGTTGGTTGAAGACGAACTCACCAACATCAGTTTTCCGGAGATGAAGGGGACAGAAGGACGTTTCCAGTACACCATCACTGAGTAAGGCTTCATCCTGAAAGGACCACTGTCCTACAGGGCTTCTGGCGGTCGTTAAAACTTTTTGTTGCCCTTTTCCACAGTGTAAAGATCACAGAACTGAATCTGAGGCATGTTGACCTGCAATTCATCCCTGACGTAGGTTTGTTGTTCGATGTGCAGAACTCCTCCATCTCTCTGAGCTTCCAGCGACGCATCCTTTACTGGTTCTTGTGAGTTTCACAACACAACAATTAGAACAGTGGTCTACGGAACATGGCATTTCAGAAATTATTTGTTTTAATTCTAGAAACGAGAACTGATGAGCAAATGTTGCTATTTACAACAAGGACATCTCTCTGTTCCTCTTAGATCTTAAAACAAAAAACTTATTTATGTGACATGTTGGTTCACATGATGTGCTTTACATCAGACACATCCTAATACTGTCATACTTGCATGTTTAAAGGATTCAATTTGAGTTTTTCAGAATAATGAAAACAAGGTTCACATGTCAATAAATGCATTTTAAAGTTTATTCTACTGAATCATATAAATACAGATCAATCATTTAGTGAATCTTTACAGAGATCTCTCCATATAATCAAAGTGAACAACTCAAAAATCTAAAAACAAGAAACTATTGGTGGTGAAACTAAGAATAAATAAAAGTGAGTGAAAACAGACAAACAGAAACACCAAAGTAATATGAAATATGATTTTGTTTGGATTTTTAAAGAAATATAATTGAAATGAATCATTTTCACTCTGCTCTGGGTGTAGGGTCTGGAAGATTACAAATTAAATTGATAAATAAAAATTTTAATTTAAAAACAAATGTACCTTTAAGGTCGTAGGGAAGTCATATTTAAATGTCAAATCATTCTGGCTTAAACATGTATATAAATGTAATCTTTATCAGACAATTTTTCTCCAAATTTAGAACATTTCAATAAAAAAAAAAAATCCTGTCTAAAAATCTGTGTTTTTTTTTGTTTTGTTATTTAATGCTATGATTCTGTAAAAGTTTAAAAAACAATCCACTGGACTTGGTTTCCAAGGTTTGAAGACGTCTCGCCTTGGAAACCAACTCCAGTGGATTGTTTTTTTTTAAACTTTTCGTAATGACTATGACCTGGATGACTGAGAATCTTTATCAGCTTAATACTAAGATCAACATTTTTTGAGTCATAGCATCTTGATTCATATGTTGCTGCTAATATACACATCAATTGAAATAAGAATTAAGAATCATTATTAACTTTCCCATTGAGTTCCATCCCAGTGTTCACGGGGATGGACGTCTGTGTCTTCAGCAGGCGTAGAGCTAACAGAACTGGCAGCGTTGCGAGGCAAGGGCTCAAACATGTACGGCTGGAAGCCTTCTACACCAAACCAAGCTTCTGCCGCCCTGGCGTCCTCTTCCACAACATCTTCATCCCCGCTTTCCTCCTCTAAATAAAAAATTAATGACGGAGGAGACTCATCCACGACCTCCGACACAAAACTCTCCTCCACTTACATGTTTCCGCTGTCCATAGCGTTCCTTGACAATGTCGTTGCTAAGTCACCAATTTCCCATTGCGAACCTACAAGCACTAAGCAAGATGCTTCCGACAAACCGGCCAAAAGTCCTCCCAGCGTTTCTTGGGTCTCTCTCACCATTGAGGCGTCCAGTAGGCATCCTAACAAGATGCCCAAGCCAACTCTACTGGCTCCTCTCGACATGGAGGAGCAGCGGCTACTCTGAGTCCTCCCCGGATGACTGAACTCCTCACCCTATCTCTAAGGGAGAGTCCAGACACACTACGGAGAAAACTCATTTCGGCCTTTTGTATCTGAGATCTTGTTCTTTTGGTCATGATCCAAAGCTCATGACCGTAGCTGAAAATGTTTTTTTTTTTCTTTTCTAGCTATGACACAGGAAACATTAACGCATCTGCTGAAGGAGTGAACATCAACACGGCTGTAAATCTGATCAGAGATGAAGAAGGACGACTGAAGATCAACAACATCAGCTGTGATGCCAAAATTAAGAAAATGAGAGCGGAGTTCAGTGGGACGCTTGGGTAAGACACAGAGAGAAGTGAACCTCTGTAGATCCATTTCAATTCAGTCCTATCACTGTTCAGATGGCTGTATCCTACGACACTATGAGGGCCCTAACGACCCATCAATATCAACTTTCTGCCAGAGTGTGATGTGATCTAATCAGGAAAATCTGTTCTCAGGAGAGTTTATGATTTCCTGGCTCGATTTCTGACTACAGGGATGCGCTTCTACCTCAACCAACAGGTTGGGCTACTTTCTGATTGTGACCCTGACCCTGACTCTGACCAAATACTGGTGCTGACCCGTTTATGGCTCCGCTTATGCCTTTTCTGTTAGAATCCAGTGCCCATAGTGAAAGAGAACTAAATGCTGGTTCTTGTCTTTAAGAGTCCATCTGTATTGGGTCAGTGTTGGGGTTTGGTGTTATATGGTTTCTGGTGTATTTGTTTACTTATCAAACTTGAGTAACAATATAGTTGATCTGTTTACCTAACAGATCTGCCCATCTCTAAATCACGCTGCTCTGGTTCATGTGAACTCCATGTTGGAGACGATTCCTGTGAGGACGGAGGTGGATAAGTATATTGGAATCGATTATTCTCTGATCAGTGATCCTGTGGTGACGTCACAGAGCCTCGACATGAACTTCAGGGTCAGTCTCCCCACAGTCTTCTGATAAAAGCAGACCTGGACCATTGCCAGTAAACAGTCTGTTTTTTTGTTTTCTGTAGGGGATGTTCTTTGACCTGTCCAATCAGAACCTCCCGCTGGTGAACTATGCCGTGGAACCAGTCATCAGGGAGTACGATCGGATGGTGTATCTAGCGCTGTCTGAATTCTTCTTCGACAGTGGGATGTTCGCTTACTACAGTGCTGGAATTTTCCAAATGCACATCGTCAACGAAAAGGTAAATAGAACCAGGGTTATTGCTCTAGAAAATTCAGGTGGACTCCATTTATGGCATTAAACTAGGATTGAAATATAGTCTATAGAGTCATTGGATATATTTAAATCCATTTATTCTCTAAGTTAAGGCTTCATCAAATCCTGAGTAATATAATTTATGAAATAGAGTAGAACACCATGGAATACAAACGAAAAGAAATTTAATTACCCTACATTGTCTCACAATATATATATTAGATTAGATTAGATGAGCTTTATCGATCTCACAGCGGAGAAATTCACTTGTCACATATTGGCATAGAAGTTACAGAAGGTGCAAACATGGAGGAAAGGTGCATTAAGAATAAGCAATATATATACAGTATATCCAGGTATATACAGTATATCAAGATAATATCAAGATATATATATATATATAGATATATAGATAGATCTACCTGACAACCAAAAGCAGAGCATGGATGTAGAAAACATTTTCTGAGCAGTTGGGAGCAGTAAACAATATAGTTCACAGTCTTGGAAGAAGGATCTGCAGTAGCATTCTTTTGTGCACCAGGGGTGTAACGGAACCAACATCTTACTGTTAAACATCAGCTTTTTGGATGTGTGTGTGTGTATATATATAACTGTAACTGGAGCGTGTAACAAAAGTAATTTCCCTCTGGGATTATTAAAGTATTTCTGATTCTGATTTTAATATCCTTTACTCAGACATTAACAATGGTTAATTTGAAAAGATAATCAAGCTCATATGGTCCCCATGTCTGAGCTTGATTCCAACCATCTGATCAATGTTAGTACCACCATATAGGTAATATGTAGTTTGCTGTATTTTTAAATAACATAGTTTGTTGTTTTATTGTAAAGGTGGAAGACCTTAGCACTGATGTCTGAGAAGTGTTGGTCATCCTAAATGGATTATCCTGTTAATTTCAGGTTGCAATTAATGACACCATAGCTAGAACACTGAACAAATATGCCTGTTTGAAAGATTAAAATGTAAAAAGACTTGTCTTTCTTCTCTGACCATTTTAGGTTTATTTCAAGTCTATTTTTTCTATAAGTGTGAACAAATATAATGTAGTTAGACTTGAAATACAGGAGCAGCACTACATGCTCCTTAAAGAAAATCTGTCCCAATACCTGGATTACAGTAAAGACAGTATCTCAGCAAACATTTCCATTCAATCATTTTTATACAGTAAATAACCAGTGTCAATAAATCAATTCCTGGTATTGAGACTGAACTTCTCTTTGATTTTATTCTTACTCAAATTTCCTTCAGATGCCTAAAGATCTAGAGGTTTTGTTAAGGACGACATATTTCGGATCAATCATGATGTTGGTAAGCAGAATTAATAAGCTAAACCAGGACAGTTGGCAGAGACCCAACAATCTGTCGTACCTTGTTGTTCACAATGTTGTTGATGTTGCTCTGTCAGAACCCAGCTCTGGTGGATGCACCGCTGTCCCTGCAGCTTGCTGTCAACTCCCCCCCAAAAACCACCATCAAAACATCTGGAGCAACTGTTTTTATGACAGCCATCGTCAAGGTGATGGTTCTGCCTCCGGGTCAACCTCCAGTCCAGCTCAGCAGTATGACCATGGTACCGAACACAGAGAACTATACCCTCACTAATTTTTCTGACTGGATTCTACACAGTATAACTACCAGTTATATGGTTTGAAATGGAAATTAGCTGCTGCTAGTATAAGCAAACTATTTTCTTTTCCTACAGGAAACAAAATTCAACGCCAAAGTTTCTATGAGAGGAAAACGTTTGGCTGTCCACGCTGATCTACGCAGGTAAAGGTTTCCTTTTAAACGTTGAAACACCTGACTGGTTCTGGACTGAAACTCAGCCCACACTTTGTTCTACTATGAGGTTTTGTGACAGCCTCTTGCTCTAGAAACAAGTGTGGATTCGTTGGATGGATTTACACTCTTAACCCAAACCTAGCTTCACACAATCACTGAACCCGCCACTGATTTCAGTTAAATATCTGAATCGGTAGCTGGTTTTAGACTAGAACTTTAAACCTACACTTGATTGTAAGCTTCAATTCTGAACTTTTTCTTGGTTCTAAAATAAAACTCAAAAGAAGTACCTGGCTTTATAATCAAAGTATTGTTGAACCTATCCTCAACGTAATGGTTTAAGGGCACCACCAAACATGCTCTGCAGCTCTGCTATCACACCACAGGTAATAAAACACATTGGCGAGAACGTTATATTTGAAGGCATTATTGAACCAGTGGATAAAGTTCCAAGCTTGAGCAAACACTGCTTCACACTTTCCTTCAAAGAAGACACCATTAGTGCCTACTGCTATTGGGGCCTACCACCCAAAGATAGAAAATCCACTGAGGATTTTACCAAAGCAACGTCACATTCCTGCTTGTTTTCCTTAAATCCACTGATCCAATTCATCCGATTTTCCCTCTAAACAAAGAGCGAAACAGAGAATATCTCAATCACTGAATTTGCTCACAGATGCTTGAGTCTTAATTCCAGTTTGTTCTTATCCCAGAAAAGAAAACAGTCTTTTCACTGCCATAGGTGAACGACTCTTTTTTTTTTTTTGAGAAGAAAAAATGAAATGAAATCAGATTATTTGAGATGTTTCTAGATTAATCAGAAAAAGTCTTTATTGCCTTCCAGGTTTAAAATCTTTTCCAATCAATCAGCTCTGGAGTCTCTGGCTGTAAGTGTTTACCTTTATTTCCTGGTTTAAATATCTCCTATTGGACTCACACTGACAGTCTGTCTGTCTGCAGCTGATTCCTCTACAGGCTCCTCTAAAGACCATGCTGCAGATGTCTGTGGTTCCTCTCATTAACAGTAAGAACCTTCTCCTATTCTGAAACCAGGCCCTCTAAGTTGTAGCATTGCTCTGATTGCTTCTGGTTTTGAGTTTAGATTGGACCAAGAAGGGCGTCCGGATCCCGCTGGCTGACGGAATAGATTTTATCGAGGAGGTGGTGGAGTATCACAATGTGTGTTTACTTTTAAAGATTGCAGATGTTCAAAATTTGTTTTCCATGTTTATATGTTTGTTTTTGGTTTATCGCAATCACTATTTGTTTACAAATGTTTACTCATTAACATTTGATGTTTGCAGGACTTTGAAAGTTTCCACATTGATTTTATAGATGGTTCCCGTTTGTTTAAAGTAGTTTTTTTTTTTTTTACAGATATTGCAGCTATAATAGAACAGAAATATCCCTCAAGGCCAAAACACACGGCTTGAATTATTCGACACAAACCAATCTTATTCTGTCAACACACCACCTACAGTAGTTTAATAGATGAAATATTCACATGAGAGTTTGCCAGACAGGCCATACTGCCACATAATGCAAGTCTTTCTAAAAAAGCATTTGCACGTTCATGTTGATGTTGTTGTTGGACCATTTTGGTTTGTATTTTCTAGATATCGGTTATGTTACACGTATTCATGGTGCCTCACATCCTTTCTGAAGGAGAAATTAAATCAGATGTGCTCCACATGTTTGACAGCTTTCTGATTTGATCAGTTATTTACACTGGTAGCATAATATGTGTGTTAAAATCAATATTTACGTTATGTTGCACCTAATATAGGTTAAGGTCATAATTTCAGACTGATATAGGCTCCTGTTTTGCAAGGAATGAAAAGGAAAATGACAACCAGTGTCAAATCAATCAATCAGTTCTTGGTAGTTGTGAAAAGCTAAAACACAAAAATGTGTAATTTCTAATCAGATGGTCAAGAAACAGACTTAAAGGCGTTGAGAACATAGGATATATTACTGGGGATATGATGACTTCCCCATGTTAGAGGTATGTTCTTGAAGTGATCAGTGAGGGCGCAGATCTATGCCTTATGTCACTGTTGCTAGGTGACAAAAGCTACGCTGAGGTGAGGGCAGAATGGCTACAAAAGGCTCGACCATCACAATTCAAAGCTATTCACTTCCGCTTTGCATGGTTTTTAACATCCTGGCCCATATAGATTGAGTCTTTTAAAGGATGCAGCCCCTGAATTGGAAAACACCCAGAGCTGCGGAGCGTACCTAGCCGTGTCTTGGGTGTAAGCGTCACATTAGCCGCGTCAATTACATTACCCAACCTGTGTATTTATAGGTTGACGCATAACTTTTCCATCAATTGCAGCATGGGTCCGACCAACAGTTGGTGATACAGTGGTACCGACTCCCAGTGGTCTGCGCAGTCCAGTTTGCCTTATTGTATTCTGGGAGTCACACATTTATACAAACCTTTTTCTGTCAGACTGCATACAAAATTGGATCCAGTGTGTTTTGGCCTTTACTGTGAAATGAAATAAGATTAGATAAAATAGGATATGTATTGTCATTATACATACATACAGTGTGCTGCAAAATGTTCCAGCTGAGGTGTATAGAGAAATAGCATTAAGAGCTGATTGGAGATGTCATTACACTTTATCAATCATAACAGATGTGCTGTTTTGCAGGGTTTCATTGTGATTGGAGCCAATCTTCACTTCAGTAAAGGGCTAAGGGAAATGATCGCAGGGAGCAGTGATGCCGAGCAAACCAACACTACCAGCACAGTCTAAGTAAATACATGGAGAAATGAAGCTGGCAGCCAGAACCTTATGACCACCTGTTAACCGTTTACACACATCTGAGCCACTGCTGGAGGGAATCGCAGGGCCGAAAGGATAACTAACCAATGTGGCTGCTGTTATTGTACTGGTTCTACTGGTTCAACTGATTTAGTGAGCTATCTGCATCTTTATGTGAAATATTCAGCTCAGTTAGTTTGAGGTCCAGATCAGAGAAGGTTTAAGGAAGTTAACACAGCAAATAGATTTTAAAACCACAGAATGCAGACATGTCTGTTTATAAATAGGTGACCAGACTGAGGGACTGTGTCAGTGGTCATAACTTTCTAATGACTGAGCTCTCATACAAATCCATAGATGATTTACATACAAACACAATGAGGAAAGTGCGACTAGGGGATTCATTTGGACCAGCTGTGGATGTTTTACTGACAGAAAGAAATATTTCCTAACGTTAAGAAACATGTTTTCAATTCACCAAGGTAACATTGTCCAATTAAGACTTTCCAGGGTGAAAGTATTTTATTTTTCTTCTCACCAGATCTTCCTAGCTACACCTTCAGCCTCACAGAGGGGTTAAGTATTACTGAAGGATGGAGCTAAACCATAGAGAACCTTTAGTCCACAAGTTGCAAAAAAATAATAAGAAATTAATAAGACTTGAATTAGATTATAGAACCGGCCATAGAGCTCCAGTGTCCTGCACATTTTAGGTGTGTCTCTGCTTCCAAACCTGAATCAAATAGCAAAATTACCTCCATAGCGTATAATCAATTATCCAGAGTCCTAGTAATGACCTGATTATTTGACTCAGGTGTGTTGAAGCACAGACACATTTAAAAGCTGGAGGATCAGATCTGGGAAAGCCTGCTATAGACTTTAGGCTTTCTTTTGACTGGACTGAACATTTGTGTCTCCAGTTTTCCACAGTTTTCTCTCTTGAAAAGTATGTTTAAATAAAAAAACAGTTTAATTCACACCTGAATCAGAAAGGATTTTTTATGTTATAGTTGTTAAACATCCAGAAACAGAGGGTTAATTTTAAGTGGCCAAACCCAACAACTGTAGTGACTTGTGACCAATGCAAACAAAAATAAGCAGAAAAACACAAAGAATGAATACATGTACAGTTGAATAAGTTGTTTATGGGAGATAGAGTACATGTTTGACAGCAGCAGGATTACGGTGGGGATTAGACTGACCCATCTTGTTGAAATAGGCAGAGATTTAACATGAGACTTAACTTCGGCTATGTAAATGTTTATTGGAAGTGTTGATGCTGAAGAGATGAGGTCTGAAAATGATTATTAGGTGCCTCATCTTGCAGTGCAGCTTGCCGTCCAAACGTAATAGAAAAGAAGTTTCTGATGTGGGTACGACACAACCAAAGTCTGTTTTCCTTATGCCCCTTTTCCATTACTGCTTAATCTATTTCAGCATGAGCACTTTAAAATGGTTTCATCCATTGTGGAGAGCAAACAACAACATCCTAGCTTTCTACTCCATTTGTGAAAGCTGTCAGACTCCAAAGTGAAAGAAAAGAACCAGAGAGATGAGGTAGCAAGAGGAAACACAAAGGACAAGTACGAGAGAGAATATAGTCTAGAGGACAGGATAGGATAAGACTCCTTCATGTCAATTCTAATACTAGCTTCATTTATTAGTGGTCAGTAATATGACAATTAAAAATCAAGACTGGTTATTAAAATATGCTCTAATTAGTGATGCTGGCCACTACCCAATTTGTGAAAGATGTTTTCAGTGCAACTATGAAAGGTCAGAACCACATGACAGCAGGTACTGATAATTTCAACCGTGAATTTCTAAATTTTATAATCTTTACTTACAGAGTTGATAGAGACAGAATTCAGAGACAGAGATCATATCTGGAAGAGGGCTTAATCAGGTCTGGAATTGACCCAGACCAAATTTGGATCAGATCTGACATAAATCAGACCTACATCAGGCTTTGATCTTATTTAATTAGATCTGGATCAGGAATAGACTTGAAACTGACTTTAACAGCACCATTGCTTTCATCTAGGCCTACTCTCTTCGGGTCTATCAGTCAATTGATACTAGGGATGTTAGACAGGGCTGGATTCAGTCATAGACGTACAGTAAATATCAGGATAAACTTCAATGCTTATGTTCACTGTACACTGCAAAAAAATGTAAATCTAAATAAGTAATTTTTTCTTGCAATAAGTGCATTTTTTCTTGAATTGAGGAGGTAATTGAGACACTTTGCCAATGGAACAAGACAATTTGCATTTAAAATAAGAAAACACATATGCATAGTTTTATTTCAAGTGAATATTATCTAATTATCTTATTTTAAGACAAAAAATACTCATTCCATTGGCAAATTATCTTATTTACCTACTCAAATTAATGGTAAATACACTTAATTTAAGATATTTTTTCTAATTTTTAGATGGTTTTTGCAGTGTAACAATATCAATAATCCTCTTTATTTTCTACCATCACTAAATTGTGATAAACATTAGCAAAAGGACAATCCATATGTCCTTAAGGAACTTTAAAAACCTCAGATGTAGATCTCATTCTGATTGCCTGATAGACTTACAAAAATTATGGTTGCAATGATATGAATAAATGGTTTGTATAAAAGTTTTAGATTATTTGTTCGGGTGCACGAGTCAGAACGCTCCTGAATGTCTATAGTAATGTGTATTATTTGCCACTTTAAAGTGCAAACTTGTTTGAAGAATCTCGCAGCACTTAATGCCCAAGATCAGATGTGTCCATTAGCCTTGGCCCCTCTTTCTAACAAAGTTTATTTTCCATTTTCCACTATTACCAAGTCAGAGCAGTTGCTTTGGGTCAGTTCATTTTTTTAATAGCTTTTACTTTGTAACTGTTACATGTATCTGTGATAATTATTAGTACCTGCTTACTAGCAGTTCCAACATTCCAAGTTGCTCTGAAAATGTGCCGTCAGACTTTAACTGATTGTTTTGTCAGGAGTGGGATGTCACCATTCATGTTACAATTTACAAAACTTTTCAGCAATCTCACAGATTACACTGGACCTATTACGTATGAGCACTACCTTAGAAAGCTTGGATTAGATTTCTAGCATGCGTACTGATAACTTACCTTCATGTGCTCTAGCTCAGGATTTCTTTCTCATGTTTTTTATATCTTTACTGAAACACACCTGATTTAAATGGATGCATTACTTCCTGAGTGGCCATCAAATGCTGCAAAAGCATGTTGATCACCTTTTCATTCCGGTAAGGTGTGTGAGGGCGAGGAAACACCTAAAACATGTAGCACAGTTGGCCCTGAGGACCAGGGTTAAGAAACCCTGCTACTGTAGCTCATTTACTTCTATTTGATAGTGAAAGTTTTTTTTCTTATGTCCATATGAGGGTGCTTCATCTACAGTAGCAGCCATTAAAAATGGCCCTTCCCAGTCGAACGGCAGCTGAATGGCAGCCTTCCCTGCAGCTCCCAGCAAAATCCGCTCCAACTGGCCTTCTCCTGGGCGTGCATATTTTTTTACTCTGAATTACATGGTCTGACCAGGAGATGATGCTTCTCTTTAGATCGTAATGTCCACAAACCATGACAGAATATTTTAGGTCAAAGATTGATGTTTAAAAAGGAATTATAGGGGATTTAGGAAAGTGGGGCTACTACTATAGCTGCCCTCAGCCTTGTCTGGCACTCATTTTACTCTGACTCTGAAAGCATCCATAAAGAGAGCAGCTACCTTGTTTTGTCTACAAATCATATTACCTTGAACAGTTGGGCTGCCTTGCAATTACAGTTTCTTTCCTAAACAAAATGCTGCCAAACTATAATAGAAAATTAATCAAACACATCCTGAACAGATCGTTTTATTGAAAAAGGGGCATATGTGTGAGGAGCATCTTGGGTCCTTAGAAAAGGTGTTTCCTAGAAACATTAAAATATCCAGATAAGTGAGGCAGGATGGGATCTTTTCTCTGAATCCATATTAAAGCCACAGTTGTTAAACTCCTCCTTTTTCATTGCGATCATCTCTTGTAACAGTCTTGTTTTATTTGTGTTTGAATTTTATTTTAGTTGAAATGTATATTTTTGATGTTCATATTTGTATTTACTTATTCATACTTGCCTTTTGCTTGTTTAATTAAATCTGGCCTGTCAATATTTGTGGGGTATAAAGTATGTTGTTGAATAGATTAACGATCAACTATTTGATGCCTCTCGTGTCTTTTTGGGTTTTCTTCCCCCTTTTCCTCTATAAATATGGTTAGTCTATTAATCTATCTATTTAATAAATGTCAGAGTTTAAGTAAAAAATAAAAAAAATTCAAAGATTATGCTCATCATATCAACAATTATATCCTTAACAGTGTTAGGAACATTCCTTGATTTTGTTTGATTGAAATATATTCTAAAAACTTTATTTCCTCCATTTGTAGATCAAAGTTTCTTTTGTGGATATTTTTTTCCTCCATTTATTGCTTTGATCAACGGCACCCCTTTCATTAACGGAACTATTTAGTCGTAGTGACACTGTTGCATTTTAGCTACAGATGGTTAACGTTTCACACAACTTCATGAACAGAAGCCTAAACTATCCCTTCAAATCTAAAGCAAGTTTAACTCTAAGCTGAGGCTGTAACCATGGCGATTAGAGCATCTTTCCATGCTAAAGATTTTTTCAGATCATGCTTTGAATGCTGTCCTGCATCGCAGCCCTCTGTGCTGTGGTTCGGATGAACACCAGTAAATTTGAGAGGTCTGTCACATGGTGACATGGAAATGTTACAAAGAGCGGGAACTAAAGGGCGCTTGGGCAGTGAGAAGGTTGCAAGTACCCGGTTCGATCACCACAGCCTGTATTTTGGGTTCCTGAGGAAAACCCTTAACCCCACACTGCTCCCCGGGCGCCACACAGTGGCAGCCCACTGCTCATCTAGGGAATAGGTTAAATGCAGAGAGTGAATTTCCCCATTGTAGAACAATAAAGGGATTTACATTACATTCAATCAGAATTATTCAATATTCAAGCTTAACATGAAAAATAATTCACAAAAAAAGACCTGCTCCACCACAGTTTGTAATAAAAACTTAGTTTTAATTCCAATTAAATAAAAAAGTATCCAGTCTTCCAGTTTATAACAATTTACAAAGTATTTGTTGTTTTATAGAGCTCTGTTTATGATGAATAAACTGATTAAATATTGATCGGTTATTACATTCAGTTATACAGATGGGTTCTTTGTTATTTCAGTTCATTATTTTTTCCATGCTGCTGGATTTCTGAATCACGTATGTTTCTCAGAGCAGCTAATCAAATTGAGTTGGGTTGAAATTCTGGATTCCCAACAGAGGAAGGTAAAAAAACGCCTTATTAAAGGTTCCCCATTACTTTTCTTTGATGCCATCATAACCATGGAATCCACATTTCCGGCCAGCAACCCTGCAGCCAAAGGTCAGAGCCTCTTGAAGACTTCCTCCTGCAATCAGAAACATTTAAAGCAGAACAATAAATACCTACATCAACCTAAGAAAACCTAAAGTTCTTAAACATGGTGGATAATAATCCTTCTTCTTAGTTTTACTGGGGATCCATCTTACAGGACCTGGTTAGATGACATTTCAGCAGAAACATCCCAGACTGAGCAGATTTTTACCGTTGGACAGAGTGTACAGGACGCCAGCGTTGAATGTGTCTCCAGCTCCGAGGGTGTCCACCAGAGTGTCAGGAGGGAAAGCATCCGAATGAAGGAGCAAACCATCAGGACCCAAAGCATCTGCTCCTTTTTCTGCCCACGCACAGATCAGGACAGCCCTGAGACAAAGATGGATCAGAACCAGACCTGATTTTTTCCCCAATTCTTCTGCACATTATTAACTCACCCCTTTTTAACTCGATGGTAGAGTCCTTTTAAAGCAGCATCAGGCGAGTTGAAACCAAAGTGACGAGCAACATCTTTACTGACAAACACCTGTGAAACAACCAGAGCCTGGTTACTAACTGGCCTAACTGCAATGCAACAAGGTCTGCAGAGAGTCAGTGAGGAGGCCTTAGTAAAAAAAAAAAGATCCTGATTAATGAAGTTG